GGTCAGTGGAGTGCATCTGGGGTCAGGGTGAATTGGGTATGTGTATTGTAATATCATTATGGTCTATGCTCATGATCACGTCCAGAATGTGCTGTTTCATTGTGGCAGGCGGGCTCTAATAGGTGTGACTGCGACAGGCAGTCTGGTATTTACAAGATTATATGTACTGTATATACACAGTGTCTGTAGATAGCATTGCAATATATGCTTCATTTTCTTATTCATATGCAAGGAGCAATAAAATCAAGCAGCTGTATGAAATGTGAAAGCCCGCTGGCCAGAAAACCCGCTTTCTCGTTGTCCAGCCCGGATGTCAGCTTGATAACCGACTCCGACCTTGACTCGACATACGAGTCAAGTAGAGGCCAAGTTGATCCTCGGTTTTTATATCGAGTCGATGTCACGCGTAGGGCCTGGTGGGGTCTGGCGTCTGACCTTGCCGAAACCCTTTTTTAGACTGGGCGTGTATCTGGTCGGGCGAGGAATGACAATACCGTAGCCTGAGCTCCAATGACCTGAACCCTGTACCACGCAGAAGGGAAGACGCACGTTGTCATTAACCTTTGCATGGTATAGCACACCAGCATCGTAGTGCGAATTCAGTCAAGGGATATCCAATCAATTTGCGTGGACTGTCTGTTCAGAGTGCGCTCCCTGGGAGAGCTTCGATTCTCCGCGAAGGTCCTAGTATGTACACCTTGGCAGTGCGTTCGAGTCTTCTTGCTCAGGAAGGGGCGTGCGACTGGAACCCTACGGAAGTGAGATCAAGAATAAGCCGACGTGACAAGACGCGTATCCGCAGGAGAAGTCAAATACTGCACATGCGAGGCAGCCAGAACCGCCAAAGAAGGGCTCACGCGTGAGTAAGAAAAACGTAGTCCTGAGGAAGTTCCGGTTCCGATTGCCACTGGCACGATAGACCGGGCTTGCTCTACATCTCGCTCGGTTTGAGCATGACAGGTAATATAAGACAGCCAAAGAGAAGGTCGTATATCGCCTCGAGCAAAGTTGGTCACTCCAGAGTCGGAATTTCCGCTGGAATGATTACGAGTTCGCAAGATATCCTCGCGGGTACGACAGCAATCAGGACGGTCCAGGCACGACAACCCGCAGGTGAGGACGTGGAACATCGGAATCCACGTCAGACGGCCAACCTTCGAGAGCGAATGAAGGTGCGAAACCCTTCTAATTTGCGTTTCTATGCCAGTTTTTTTTTGTGGACGAACGAAGCGAAGCAGCCCCAGGAAGATAAAGAAATTTGTGTAGAAACGATTCAACAAACCGTGGCTTTGTTCCAGGGGCATTGCGCCTCATGGTCTGAATAATGCGATTGTTTCTACGAGATAACGCAAGGACCGAACCTGCAAGTGGGAGTGAGGAATATGTAGCCTTGCCGGCCCTTGCGGTTGTAACGGCATTGCCCCGGCCCGGGCGCGGTCCGTACCAACCTGAAAGCTTGATTATGACCTCGGAACTCAAAACTTCACAGCCGCGTTTCGCGTGCTTGTCGAGCTTGCCAGTACCGAACGTTGTTCTTCGTTCCTAAACCTACCTGCGACATGGTGGCTACTTGCTGCGCCCCTACGAGGCCCTGCTACGGCGGACTCGGGGACCAGAAGAGCGGTTGATATTGTTCAGATGCGATTAGAGGTATATAGTGCGTCTATATCTCTGGACCGGTAGGAATCGCGACTCGGACGTGACAGAGACAGGTCACTTCACTGTGTCTTGCAGTCTTCAAGCAATTCACAGGACAATGTCCATTGCGATTATTTGCGATCGATGTTGGCCTATGAGGTGCTTGGGGCCTGCTCTATCTTCACCCCTTCCGCGAAAATACATCAAGATCACTCGCCAACCGTGTTCGGAGAATGAGATCGGGTCGCAACACCAGAGTGAGGCGGAGGTTTTGGGACAAGTTCTTTCCGTGAGCGGTCTCCGATTCTCTAGGCACGTCATCTTGTAATGAACGGCATGCAATGGTTTACCAGATGCTTCAACTCTGTGCAGGGGTTTGAGATTCATACAGGCTGCATCCTCGTAGCAGGCGTTGGTACAACGGAGGAGAACTATGGTTTCAATCTTCAAGTGAAATATCAGTCATGTCGGTGTGGCTTAGTTTCCCCGCGATACCCGTGGGCTGAAGTTATGTTTTCCCATTGTTACAAGCCCTGAATGATGTTAGCTGATTCAAGGCCACGCCGAATATTATCCCAATGGTCACATCGTCGCTACTATTACTGCCAGAAATTGACCGGTGGCAACTACAAGATCTCCGGCTCTCTTCCCGTCGCTCAGGGCTTCTGAGGCTGACCCTGCAGCGGGCCTGATCAGCAGTGTGGTCTCAACGTCCCAGGTCACTCCACCTACCCCGAAAATGGAGTCGCCGGCCTCATTAAATATCCTGCCAAGTTGACCGTCTTCTGAAGTGGGGTTGTACGCATGGCCGGCGCACCTGAGAGCACAAATTGGTGCGTTGAATCCGAATGTAGCATGGTTCTCTTTGTCGGATTTTGACACATGGAAAAAATTGGTGATATCGACGTTCAAGGTCCCGCTTAGCTGCAGTGTTGTCGCCGCGGCGTTGAGTAGGGCGGCGACTCTTGCAAGAGCCTGCTGCTGGCGTGCTACCATTGCCTTTTGGGAAGCAGTTTTGCTCGTGATCGCGTTCTGCTTCTTCTTCAGGGCTTTAGCACTTGCCCGGTCAGCTGCCGTGATCGCTGGTATCTCGATATCTGTTAAACCCCCCGTGAACGTGGGGTGCACGGATATCGCCCGGGCTTCCAACTTCGTTAACGATGATTCCCGCTGGAGACAGGTTGAAGGGTGCTTTGTCTGTCCTGGTTAACGGAGCTCACCTCTGCAATAGGAATTGATAATACGCTGCCAATGAGCGCGAAGAAGGTAAGAAGGCCGACTATGCTGAATTGCATGATATGACGACTTTTGCTAGATGGTCGGCGGGTTCGTGTCAGCCGGAGGGGGGGGCGACCTCAATAAAAGAAAGTGGATATTGAGGACTGCTAGATACACGGGAAGGTAGAGTCGCGGACTCTTGGAGGTAAGGGAGCGAAGAAAAGTCTAAGTGAAGAGTCGCTGACTCTTAGCAAAACCTGACTGTGCGGTTGTGAGTTATATCTGGTATGAGATTCAACTCATCGACATTACGACAAGCACAAGCTTCAGCGGCAGCAGACTTAGATCATTACCGCCCGGGTACCGCACCAACATCATACGTTAAAACCTATGCCGCCAAGCTAGCTGAATCCAACCCATCTCGCGAGTGGCGAGGTTGCACGTGTAGCTCTGAACTTCTGTGAGGCGTCGCGACGCGGATGTTGTCCGCCGTAGCCACCTCCCCGGCTTTGTAACCTGCTCTTCAAACAAACTCCCTGCGTATATTAGACGTAATCTTCAAGGTCGCCACCCAGAGTGATAGGGATAGCGGCCATAGCGGGCACTGGCTGGCCGCGGGCGTCATCGGACCGCTGACTGTGAGGAACCCCACGTCACTAAGCTACGCCATATTCGGGCACCGTTTGGATACATCTACATCTGGACCCGCGTTGCCACATAACGCAGTCGTCTAGGTTGTCCACACCCGCCACTGATTTGACGGGTCAGTGTACAGCCTTTGTTCCTTGTCCTCGAATACTTATAAGCTCCTAGATCGCTCAAGCGCAGTATTCTAGATGCAGCCTCATGACCTCCCGCCCGAATTGGTTCACAGGATCGCCTGCTGTCTCGAGACTCGGGAGGACGCCGTGTCGTATGCTCTAACATGCAGATACTTGTACTCGGTTCTTTGCCGATTGCATATCCAGTATATCGATATTCGGAGCCCATTATGCAAGCCTTCCCTTTGGAAGCAACTGGCGCACGACGATAGTCGTGCATCTCTGATACGCTCTTTGACAATATTGCCCGAAAATACCTTCTCGGATATGCAGTCCGTGATAGCAGACTACCTGCCTATGGTGGAGCGTACGCCGGAAGAATACCGCGAATGCAGTCTCGTCGATGACGGCAGGAGATACGGGTCAGACGTCAAGTGGAGCAGTGAGGTGGTCGGGGCACGAGAGCATGAACTGGGTACTGCTTTGCGACGTATGCAGAACTTGCACCAATTCCGATGGTTTCGTCCACTGCCCCCCGTGTCCACTGGCGAGGACGATCTTTGGACAATTCTCAAGTCGTTGGGGACCGTTCGTGCTTTGCATATACTGGACTTACATGAGAAGTGTTTACCTAGCTGGCCTTCTGTTGTGGCCTCCTCGTCGGTGTGTAGTCCTTCATACGGCAAGGTCCTGACTCACCGTGCTTCGTAGTTCCTATCCTTCTGCGGCTTGACATCTTTGACGCTTCGTTCAGAGGCAATGGACCGTATCAGCGAAGACCCAGACGTGACGCCTTTACTTCAAATGCTTGTCAGCAACTGTCCTGCTCTCGAGGTAAGTTTTGATTTCCAGCAATGATGTGTCCGCTCATCATCTGTCGTTTCGCTGACGGCATCCGCACGTACAGAATGTTCGACTGCATTTGCACCTCTTCACCCATATCGAGACCGCACCGGCGGACGTGATGGTTCGAGACGGACAATGGCCAAATTTGACCTCGCTATATCTAGAAGGCTTCAACTGCCAGCCTACAGACCTAGCCATCTTCCTTGGTCGCCACTCGGGTCTTCGTGAGTTGAGACTCCCGTGCATGATGCCTGGTTACAGATGGAAAGATCTCGTACTTCCTTCTGGAAGTCTCCCGAATCTCCGAACTCTCGAATGCCATAGCCCCACTGCATCGGCTTTACTAAGCAACGGCGAGGTAGCGACCAATCTCGTCACGCTCCAGGCCATTGACCTTCACGATGTTGTGCGCCTAGCCGAATATTTCAAGTGGGACTACGAATGGGAGGACGAGCACGACCTCGAAATTCTCGAACTGCAGCGAGAGATCCCATCTCCATGGAAGGCTCAGCTCCTAGAAGGGATTAGAGCGCACCCGTCCATCACGTGGCTCGAATTGGACAAAGAACCGAGCCACTCTCAGGTGGCGGAACTAGCTGAAGTTGCTCCACAAATAACAGAGTTATCATTCTGCGGCGACTATGATCGCAAGGTCGGTCCCATGGAGTGTCTTGGACTATCAGACGGCTAACCCAGGAAGAAAAGGGAGTGGAATGTTGGCATGAAGCTCGAGATCATTCTCCTCGTTTGGTACCTCTGTCTAAAGACCCAGATTGACCCGACCATGCCTTCGAACCGTTGGGGCCGCGAATGGTGGATAGGTCGACGGACCTTTTTGGACCACCGATGAAGTACCGTTTGGGCGCCTGGTGGAAAGTAAAGGGACCGACAGAGTGTGAGACTGAGCTCAGCGACCATCACATATGTATGCTAGCAGGTTGATTGTTCCAGAACGGTTCATCTCATTACTCGGATGTATCAGTCGTTCTGCGCATCCGGAATCCATGCTCCAACGATGAAGTCATAATCTGCCCCGACGCACAAGCTCGCACCCTGATCATGAGCGATTTGCAAGTATAATATCCGAGTCAAACAGAGGGAGCCTGGCGCTTCCAAGGCTATAGCAGGAAAGGCGTCACAGTAGCGCTTGCCTACTGAGTCTTATTCGACTTCGTTTCAATTGGTATAAATCAGATGCCCGTTTCCTTGGGCGTCGCGCGATGGTATTACTACATTTGCTGTTCACCGTGTACTGTTATAGCTCCTGCTTAGACTATGTGGCCTTCTCGATCGCTCCGGTGATGTGCCATCTGCTGATCCGTCTGCGTCGTCAACAGCATTCTGCGTATCTCCCAGGTACCAGTTCGGCATGGTCAACGAAATGAGCACTGGCACTACGCTCAGCACCGTAGCGGTGATGACCATGATCTTCATTGTATCATCATACGCTGCGAATACAATCGAATACATCAGAATGCATGCAATTCAATGGACCCCAGGACCACAGGTTTCTAAGTGAAATGACTTACCGTGAATGACACCCTCCCGAATAGGATGTCCTCGGGGATGTTCGGCGGCTTTCGAGATGCTCCCATACAGCTCCTCTATATCTTCGGGAGACAGACTAGGCAGATACCGTCGGAGCCTCCCAGGCATCATATTTGCCCATATTGCACCCGCTGCCATATACCATAATGCCCCCTCAGCGACTGGCCCCCACGATCTCGTACATGTCACGACTCACCGAACGCCCCGCCGACGGCGCCCCCGATTTCCGTCACCAAGAGGACCATGGCGGTCACCATCGCGAGGTCGAGGTGGTCCACGGACGCCTGGGCGCCCACGAGCGAAGACACGGCGGCGAACCCACCGCCGGCGCCTTGCAGGAGCTGTGTAAGCACCAACTCGAGTGTCGACCCTTTGGCGCCGCGCGAGCGGATCATAAGGCTCACGCCCCTGAAGATGTCGGCGTGAGTGGAATGGGGAACGATGAGCGGGAACAATACTTACAGGAGTCGGATCAGGAGACCGAATATAAGGAGCGGCTGGGCGCGCGTCAGTCGGGAGATTTGCGCTTGAATGTGATGCATACCTTGTATCGTTGCAAGTACCGCATCAGGACCCCCACGATAATCCCAGCTACTGTCAGTCCTAACATCTGGGTTTGCAGGAAATAATTTGCTTGTATAAGTGTCCTGAAAGGGCACAGCTGTTATTGAACGCATTCATATCTCAGATCTCAAATGAAGGGACACACCATGGCTTCACAACCAAGATAAATGAATAAAGATATGTGAATGTGAGATAGAAGGAAATCTGTGATGGAAGCAACTTAGTCAGAGAAGTAGATGAACAGAACGAGAACTTACAAAGTCAGTAAATCCAATCAAGCAGCTTGCTACGACACTCCAGTTGCGAGTGAGACGGATAGGGAAGAGAGGTCGCTTGGCGTATCTCTGCTCCCAGACGACGAATAACGCGAAGAGAATGCACCCGACCAGCGAGAGCCACCCAGAAGCAGCTTGGGAATGTCCTATTCATTCAGGAGTTCAAATTAGTTTGAACATGTTCTGGTAACATATAAACTCAGCGAAACCCACCACCGTTCTCCTTCGCCAGCGTGAACGGGATCAACACCAAATACACCGCGACACCGAACAACAGCAGGCCCACAAAATCGAGCGACTCGAGCACCCGCCACGCGCGCCCGAGCCGCGTGCGCTTCGCCAAGAGGAAGCCGGAGGACGACAGCGACGACCGCGTGCGCGAGTGCGAGTGCCCGCGCCCGTGCACGCTCCGGTCGACGATGCCCAACCGGCGCGCGCGCCGCTCGGCCCAGAGGAGCGTCGCGATGAGGGGGGCGAGGGCGAGCGGGACGAGGATGATGAACATTCGATCTGTGGATAACGCGAGGAGTTAGTGAGACGAGGTGAGGCAGAGGGAGGACGTACAGCCCCAGCGCCAACCGCCGTGTGCGAGCACGGAGTCGGCGATGTTCGCGCCGACCCAGGCGTTAATCAGGAAGGGGGAGGACACGAGGGCGGAGACGAGCCCCCGCCACTTCAAAGTGGTGATATCGGCTATTATTATTTGGGTCAACAGTTGTAGGCCGCTGAAGCGATGGTCGTAAGCTACGGATATACCTAGAGATATAAACTGACGTACGTGTAACCGCTATATCCAACTTGTTGGTGAGCAGTCAGACCTCATGAGACGTTTGACGTGAGCGTACATGGCGTAGGCAATTATACCGCCCGCTATTGATGCAATGCTTGAAGCCGAGGCAATGAACATGTATCCTTGTTGGTGTCACTTTCTGAACCCTGATTTTGAGTCCTTTTTGACCTACCAATGACATAAAAAAGCACTGCGGGGAGATAACTGGATATGAGTGATCATGCAAAGCTACTTGGGCGTTTGTATACCGACAGACGATGACATATGCAGCACCTCTTGATGAGATATCAGCTATCTTGGCAATTACTGGTTTCCCAACAGCAACTGCGGCGATCCTGACCAATAAATCCCAGCAGCACATAACTGCAGACTTACTGATGATCGACTGTGACACTTGAATGGAACTGATCAAGCTGAGTTCTCCAAAGGTCGACGCAGCGAACGTTAGGTAGTACGGTGTCGTGCAACCGTCAAGAGAGTAGATATAAGACGCCGAAGCAAGCCTTTCGAACCGCCATCTGTCGCTGTGCGCAGGAGAGATCGTCGACTGCACTCACCCCAAGAATAGACACCACCTCGAGTACCGCCCGTACACCTGCTCCGTCGCCTCCACCGTCTTCACTCCGTTCGTCTCGTCCTCCGAGCCCTCCTCGCTCGCAAGACCTCCATCCTCATCCAATCCGTCCGCGGGAGCGTCCTCGCCGAGTAAGTAGTCCTCTTCAGACATGCCAGCTCAGCGCAAGCGGGTTCCGAGTCAGTATGAGAATAGACGTACCCGAGCTGCCCCTTCTAACGGGGGAATAGCCTCCACGCCCCGGGCTCCGAGTCAATGACATGATTGCGGGGTCGCCTTGCTGCGTACACGCGCGTCTGTCGTGAACATAAATTCCTGAGTTATGGATGAGCGCAACAGCGTCCGAGTCCGATCCAGTATAAGGATATCTGATAAGATTATTTTTTCCGTGTGCTTCCGCTCGCTTAGCACTTGCTGATCCGTCTTGCTTCGCGACTCTTGAACGCCTCGCGGATTGCTCGCGGAAGGAGTTTGACGTCTAAGAACCAGCCAATAAAGGTCAGCTCGGCTTTTCGACTGCGCTATCGGAAAGGAACAGCGAAGTCGACTTACAACTCGCGATCGCGTGGGCATCAATGATAAATCCATACCAACACTCGGCAGGTTCAACTGTCATCCATGCGCGGCCGGTCCCTTAATTATGGAATGTCGCGCCACCCCCTGTATTCACGGAAGTAAATCACAGCGCTGCGAGAATTAAATAATGTAGAGACACCAAGGCAAGGCCAAAGGCAGGCAAGCCTGTCTGTAGGCTTTGCTACTACGAATAAGTGGCCCAGGGAATCGAGCACTGTACATTGGATGTAGTGTACTTATGGTGTACATTATCTAATGTCCTGGGATACGATATGACCACCAAGCTGCCTGTCTATACCAATCTAGGAGAATGGAACCGTGCTTCATGCCATAGATGTTCCCCCTGTGGGGTTCAGTTAGCGACTCAGACACGAGAGGTCGGAATCCGAAGTATGCAGAAGTACTCACCTTACGGTCGTATTCGCCACAGAAGGACAGCTCTTTAAGTTGCGGAGCTACTTGTCTCAGCTCACGAATCTGCGCCGCGGTCGGTTTCTTATCCACCTCGATCGACGTGATTCTCGGATGCGCTCTGATTGCTTCCAGCAGCTCCGCCTTCCACGGCGACGGTCTCTCCTTGTGGACATCAGGTTCCCCAAACTCCGGCTCATCGTACTCGTAATCCAGCAGGAAATAGTCATTGAGACGCACGGTGTCGCTAAGATCGATCCCGCGGAGCGACGCGAGGTTGGGTGCAACCTGGGGGTCCCTTAGCAGAGCCGCCGCGGTCGGGCTGTGGCACTCGAGAGTACAGAGGTTCGGGAGGCTGCCTTGAGGCAGGGAGAGGTCCCGCCATCTGTAGCCGGGCATCATACATGAGAGTCTGAGTTCCCTGAGGGCTTCGTGGTGACTCAAGAAGGCGGATAAGCTGTCCGGCTGGCAACTGAATCCTTCTAGATAGAGCGAGGTTAGTTGGGGCCATCGTCCCTCTTGAACTAAGATCTCTGCGTCTGCGGCTACGACTTGGGAGAAGAGTTGTAGGTGCACGCGAAGACTCTGGAGAATGAATCCAGGAGAGAGGGTCCCGAAGAGCAATGCTGTTAAACGTCCGTAGATGTTGAGAGCAAAGTGGACGTACCTTCAAACGAGGACAGTTGACAAGCATCCGAAGTAGTGGATCCAGGTCCGGATCATCTTCAGCCCGGTCCGCCACATCCGTCCGGAGATCCAAGAACGTCAGTCCCTGGAAGGACAGGAACTAGAAATCTGCTATTTAGATAAGTCTCCTGCTACGAAGAGATCATCACGTACCGATGGTGTCTCAACGACAGAGCGCCAGCCAGATGATTTCAAGTCTTGCAGATCCAGGACGTGCAGCTCCTCAACCGTTCCTAGTGAGTTGAGCATTGTCCACAGGTCATCCTTACCCTCCGACACCGGTGGAGGCATACGGAACCATCGGAATTGGCGCAAGTTCGTCATACGTTTGAGGGCGGCGATCAGATTCTGCTCGTGCCCATGAAGCACCTCCCGCCTGCGGGGTACGTCTGAGTTTCTGCCATTGTCCACGGGACTGCATTCGCGATATTCCTCTGGAACGCGTTCTTCCATGGGAAGATAGTCCGAAATGACAGACTGCATGTCGTTGAAAACGTTCTCTGGTAATATGGTGAGAGAGCGCGTCAGAGAAGCACGCATGTCATCGCGGGCCAGCCGGGACCAGAGAACGGGCTTGCAGAGAGGACTTCGTATGTCGCGGTACTGCAAGTGTGTGTCACGAAGAATCGAGTAGAGATACCTGCAGGACATTGCGAAGGATACGGCATCCTCTCGTGTTTCCAGAAAGCAGGCGATTCTGTGGACCAATTCTGGTGGCAGGTCGACGGGCTGCATGCTAGACGGAAGTGTCGAAAACAGCGTGAAAGTACCAGGATAAGTATGTGGGCTCGAGAACTGGTTTTCCGCCCGCGAGGTAAGGCACTGGAATATCAATTACGAGCGCCTGTACACTGGCGCTGATGCGCTTGATCTTCAGGCTATACAGCTGTCTTGATGGTGATTGATGTCGTACCTCGAGCGATGATGTGAGACATACCTGACGCGGGACGGAACTTGGGGATGGTAGTCTCATGGCCAATGGCAGTTGGCGTTGATCCGCTTGCGAAATCACGAATATGCCGCTTTTTCTGAAAGCCGACGGCGCCTCAGTAACACATCACTTTTTCGAGTTGACGTTGACTGTCCTCTCTACATCGGAGCCTGAGTTCTATGATAACTAAGTATGCTAGGCGACTCAACTCCGAGTCTTAACGAAACCTCAGGCTGTAAGCTCGTCTTGTCCACGCCTCTGAGTGGTATGTCTGAACTCATTTTCATGCTGCGACGGTAAGATCATTCATTGCCATCAATACATCACAAACGTCCCCTGGTCTGTGATATCCATTCTCACTCCTTACCATAGACTGACCTATAATGTTGCGAGGCGCGAACGACCACGCGATCTAGCTCTGTCTTAGACAATATAAATTCCGATTTTTCAATCTTACCTCCGTGTGAAGGCGATGCACGTCGATCCAGTGTCCTCGCGACGAGGGCAACTCAGAGCGGCGGCGGAGAACCTCGGGTATGCCAACGTCGCAAAAGTGCCTGAGCGTCGCGAATATCCGCATCTCGGGCATGCGGTCAACCATCACGTACTCCGGGACAAGGGACAAGGGCCGGACAGGCGTTGCCTATAAAAGCGGGGTGCACACTCAGTTATACCCCAGGTGTCTGCGACTCCCTCATCCCTCACCCCTTACGAGCACTGCTCCAGAGTCTGTGACTCGACGTCTGCACGTTTAGCCTAGTTCATATAATCTAATACTGGTGAGCATCCGCGTAAGTCGTGCCAGCAGTTCCGCGAGGCTTACTTGGCGGTGCCGCATTCAAGGTCCATTCCTTCGTATTTTTCTTGAATAATGCAGCTCAGAATCCTCGGTGCCTTTGCCTTCCTCGCCCTTGCTGGTAATGTGGCGGCCTTGCCGGTAGCAGAGGTGAGCCGCTTCTCTCTAAGCTCCCATATCACAGCGATGAAGTGATGTTCGAAGCCCGCCCCATCGTTAGTCGTACTCGACGCTCGTGCAGTGACCGTCCACCCCACCTTCGCCGGAGACCTGAAAAGCATCGTAATTCCCGAACTCACCGCAGCTGATAGGAAAGACGCAAAGACTCTGAAGAAGGCTCAAGCGAAGATCGCGAAGAAGACCGCGCAGCAGAAGGTGATCGCGGGCCGCCAGCAGGCAGCGCTCGCGCGAGTTGAGACGGCTATCAACGCCGCGTCGTCGGCGCTGAAACTTTCTGGCTCGCTGAACGTCGACATCATCAACGATTTCCACACGTCGAGGTCCGACGAGGACTCACATGCGACGTTCAAGTTCAAGGCGCCGATCTGTGCCCCCGAGTGCACCGGGCACGCGTACAACCCTAAAGCCAAGGATGGCCAGGTCGCGAGGATATTCAGCGCTGCACACAATTCCATATTTGGAGTGAGTGGAATGACCACGATCTGCAGCTTTCCGCACTGATCTTGGTATCCTGCAGGGCGAGCCTCGGAAGGGGATCCTTTAAGTTATTCACTCGCGAGTTAGATACACCTAAATATTGTAGCATACACATTCGTGCAAGTCAAACGTCACAGACTCTTTGGCCCTGGACAGAGGAAGGTACCAGTGCAACACAGGTGAGGATCGCCGTCGGCCCGATGTCTTTATGGTCATCCCTCCAGTGGTCTTGCATTGGACCAGTGCGTGAGTAAGCGGGAAGAAATGGTCAGAGAGCGGAGTAAGTCGGCGTTGCTCTCCAGTCTCGGCCAGAAGACCGGGTTGTAAATTGCGGATGAGGGGCGCCTGCAGGATGAGGACAAGGACAGGAGGTACTCCCGATACTCAAGGTAGGATGCTAGTGACTCTGCTATCCAGGATTTCTGATGGGAGTCCGACCAGAGGCATGATAGAAGCCGAAAGCCAAACGTGTACAATCGCTTCGCCCCAGTAGTAAGTAGGAAGTACTTCTCAAAGAGGACGCTGCCGCACTACCTAGGCACGGCACTGAGGACTCTGCGTCAGCTACGAAATGCCAGAGAATTCTGGGCAGCAGATGGAAGCGAACAATTCAAATAAATAGTCCCAACCGGCAACAGACCAACCATCGTGGTATCTGAGGACGCAGAATTCGGAGGACTTCAAGTGTGAACCGGGCAAACTATTGTTGGGTGATGTTACTTCAAGTTTGTTCTTCTATAAGTTTGGCTCTCGACTCTTGTCTTCAGTTCGGTATATCATCCCCGACATCATGGCGGGATATCGAACAGAGGAGGTCATACAAGCTTAGTACTACACGTTACAGCATAAAATAGTATAGACATTGCGAGCGTCGTCATGGAACAGGAAAGCGATAACGGTCATTAAAACATACATGGTCATGACGAAATGCCAACCAGCACAGAAATCAACCCAGAAGAACATATGAGAACCGAATGGTATCCAGAGCAACCCGGGAGGAACGTTCATAGATTGAGGCTCGCCCGCTTCAGAGCGCGCAGGGTGACATTCACCCCTGAGTAATCTTCCAGCCAGACGCCGCGCGCGCTGCACCGCTTGATCACCTTGCCCCAGAAGCTGACGATGCGGCTCTCGGGGTGGCACGAGCGCATGCGGTGGCTCTCCTCGCTCAAATCGCGCACGTACCGCAGGCGCGGGAACGCCTCCTTGCGCAGGAGACTCGACAGCTGCTCGAGCAGCGGGAAGAATGGCGCGTCGTCCGCGGTGGACGTCGCCCACGGGAGCGCGGCGTCGTTGCGCAGGCGCGCGTCCATGTCGCGGATGCCAATGAACTCGAGCGTCGGGTGCGTCGGGAGGAGCACGTGCGGCGCGATCCAGTCGGGCGTCTGCCAATGCCATTCGGCGTCCGCGGAGCAGATGAACTCTTGCAGGTTCGGGCACCACTCCGCCAGCCGGATGGTCTGCGGGTTCGCGGCGTGCTGGGGGCGCGCGAGCACGTACTCCTCGACAAGCGATGATGAGTGCCCGAGCTCGAGCTGCTTGATCTTTGGCCCGTGCTGCTCGAAGAAGGCGGAGAACCCGCTGCCGGCGTAACTGTAGTCTGCGGAGACGACCGAAAGGTTCGTGAGTTGCGGCATGTCCCAAGCGGCGAGCACCGCGAAGGTGACGTTGTCGAGGCTGACTTTGAGCGAGCGGAGGTTGGGGAGCGAAACGTACACGGCGGTGTGATGGAGAGACTGCGGGAGGATGGCAGAGAAGTTGGGGGAGCAGGAGGAGAGCTCGAAGTATTCGAGGTGGATCGTGGGTCGACTCACGAGCGGGCACATGTCGAGGTGGAAAGGGGTATCGTCGTATGTCGTCCACGATAGTCGTCGCAGCTTGTTATTCGGATGTGCGAGTAGCGAGAAGATCTTGTCCGGTGAGCACTTGGGGTCGGGTGCCTCCTCGTATCGATTTCGCTGTATGGACTGGTGGTCGGTGAATATGATGAGCTGTGGTGAATACGTCACGATCGTCCTCAGGTCCGCGGGGAGACACCGCTCAAGGATGGATGTTTGTATATGTAGACGGTGGATGAAGCGACCGCAAGTTTCGCCGCGCGCCATATCTTGTAGCAGTAGCGTATGTGCGAGTGCCTTGGCCTGACCTGCGCGGCTGATCCAAACGAACTCGTATAAGTATTGCCGGACCCAAACGTTCCAGCTCTTGCTGACGAGCGACAGGGTCAGCTTGTTTTGCATGCACTTGCAGTAGTCCTTCCGGCGGAAGGAAGGCGAGTCGAGGAATGATAATTCTTGTGAAGGGTCGAGAGGGTCGTATGTCATGGCTGTTGCTTCCCGGAGGATACAAAGCCACACTTCGGGAGGAAGGCGGAGTGCATCGATTCTATTAGCTTCACGAGAGGCTACGCGCGACATAGTACGTCTAGTGAAGTGAACAGGTAAGTAAACATTCAGACAAGATAGGTGCAATTGAGAGAGGTACAGGGGGGATTGAGGAACAAGAAATCGCAAGCGCGCCGGTGGCTATGATAGAGCTGCCAGCGCCGTACCGCGCGTCTATTGACTAGACGAGTGCAAGACGATCGGCCCACGTCATGACACGGGTATACAGAGCTACAAACGCGGCTAGCTCTCCAAGATGCGCGTAATCTAGAGGGATGATCCCGTTACGCAGCTTGGGATATAACCGACACGAATATTCCCTCAAGAAGGGGTATATTTGCGTCGCCCCTAGCCAGTACGCTGCGGCGTGAACTCTGAGAACCGGTACGCTGAGTGTCCATTGGAAGAAAGGTTGAAGTCCCACAACGTATATTGGGGGTACGCTCAGCCCGAACACATCTTCCATGGAAGATCCACCCAAGCACTCTAACGTACCCACAGCCTAAAAGGGATCGACAAGGTACTGCCTCGACATGGACATCCGCTACCCGACTCCTACTCCTAACTCGCGAATGTTGGTTCGGGAGCGGGTGCAACACGATTATGCTCTCTGCACGAGATAGTATACCCGTGTTACCGCCATGTGAAGTAGGAGAGATCTAATCCCAGCTGCGAACTCAGTGGTCTGCGAAAGCTAGCGAAAGGAATCTCTCCTGGCCCCGCAATAATAGCAAGACCCGACTCGCCCGTGTTAGCTCCTAGTCTCGCAGCTCAACCACCGAGGATCCTCGGAACAGCATGGCACGACTCTGAAGCTGCGCGAAGCAGGCGCTTCGCGAGACCGCCACACCCCCTCGCCCTCGGCATCGCAGAAGCACGGATCTCGGGCTTCAGCCTGGCGAGCAAGGCCGGACACGCAGCAACACACGCAACGCGTCCATACTGAGGTCTAGACGCGAAGGGGACAAAAGACAGCTAAGCGAGAACCTTCCGCACCTTATGTTGGTTATCCTTGGAGACTTCCGTGTGATGGAGAGCCAAGCCCTGCACAGGCGCGACTTGAGCTTCTGTGCGCGCGGTTTGCCTGCATTCGCGCAGGCGCTGGCGTCGTCGTTCGGGCAGCGCAGGTTGGGGGTGACGAAGGGCATGTTGGCGGGGGACGCAGGTGAGAGGGGTGAGACGAAAACGCGGGGTAGACTTGTATAATATTTTGCCAGCGTAGGCGCTGTGGGCGGCTCGATACGAAATGGGCAAATGTTCCCACAGTTATAACGGTGGACCCACGTGGCCCTCCATGGCTACTCCGGTACAGCAGGACCCCTGAAAATACCGATAGATGCCGACTTGATTTTGTCATGTCCGGACTTTTTTTGGCGGCCCCCCGCCTTTATGTCCGGATAAAATACCGGCATCGGCCAAGGTCGGATCCATGTCCGGACTATTGCCCCGGCCTCTAGGAAACAGCAAAAATCACCCATTGTAGTCCACAAATCATTCTAGACACTAGATACTAGGGTGTAGGTATGAAAACCTGAAATGTGCATAGCCTGAGGTAGAAAGTTCAATAGATAACGGAAGAGCCTTCGGGCTTGAGATCTCCAGCATGCAAAGGCAAGACGTGGCAGGCAAATGAGTGATTCGGCAGGCATTGAGCATTGCCAGGGTCTGAGAGACAGCGCGAAATACCCGCCCGTTCATGGCTTCGTAGCCCTGGACGGCGAGATACGATACCGCCGCGATATTGGATTTCAGCGTGATATTAAAAACTGTATAATTCCGTGCAAATAATGGGTTCACGACTACAGGGGAGGCATGTCTATCCTTATTCGGTGAGAAATACCATACCGGGTCATGATAGTGTACTAGTCGCGACGAAGTGGCGGGCTGCTGACCATGTCCGGACTACAACCGGCCTCACTGCTGGGGTGCCGTTGGTGTCCGGACTAAAAAACCGGGTTGGCCGGCTGAGACCCCTACTTACGTCCGGACTGGCACCGGCGTCCCTCGCCCAAGGCGCTTTTTTTGTCCGGACTGGCACCGGCATCTATCGGTATTTTCAGGGGTCCTGGTACAGCCTCCTTCGAGCATTTCTGCGCTGGAGGTTCGGTACCTTCAAACGACGATGCAGCCTGGGCGTCAAGATGGCCAGATTTAAACGTATCGATACGTGGTGTACGGACGTTCTTTCATTTACTGTTCTTCTTCCGTGAAGCTTAAATCCTCTTGTTCTCCGATTCACCGCTACTTTCAGAGATAGTCCTGGTAATTTCAGTAAACCCGCTTTTGGCGTTCGGTATGTTATTTTCCACTGCGAACCAGTGTGCACGAAACGTTTGTGAGTCAAATCAATCTATCACCACCTCCGTGATTATGATTCAGTCTTTGCAAGATGAGTCGACTGATACCCAGAATCTATGTATATATGGTTCCGATACCCCCAGATAGCGGGCCTTCTAACTTTGCCTTGCTCAAGCGCCAGAGGTCCATATCAGTCTCTTGCATTGACTATCCCGATCTAGGCCGTCCTTTTCTGCTATATGGGGAGTTCGGAATGTCCAAAGTGCATCTGTCCGTTTGGCTGTGGTACTTCTGGTTGTTTCTCCGGCAGCTGCCTTCAAGCGCCCGGTGGCTAGCTTGAATACCGCGAGTGAATGTCTTTCAATATCATCCAGGTACGCCGTCGAAACTCGCAATCATGACATAGTGGTACACATGGTCGTGCTTGCCACAGTTTCCCATGAAGTAACGTGGTCTGTTGAGCTCCCGGTAAAATTGGATGGGTCTTTGCAATGCGACCCGCCGATACGCAGCGATTCTGACCCGTGGGATGTCTCTCCAGTTATACGTCCGTTTCGAGACCGTGTACCCACACTTCATTGGACAGGCGCTACGCTCTGGGTGAGTTGCTTTCCCGAGGATCAATACACGCCCATCCTTCCGGCCATCTGCGTGTGGTGTATTATTCCTAGCCTGATATCTCTTGTACTATGATATTGCGCTATTCCTGTGTTCGTGCTCGCAGGTATGTGCGTTCTCGGTGCTCACAGTAGCCGGAATCATTCCGTCCCGCGACTATTGAGCCGCGCTGTTCCCGCGTACAGAGTATGCAAGCTACTCGCAGGACAATACCCATTGCGATCTTTCCCGATCGGCGTTGGCCTACGGGAGCTTGCCGCTTTACTCTGGACATCCCTTGTGTTAAGCGTATGCCGATGCACTGAATGGTATCCGGCCGCGGACGCGGCTTCCTGGTCACCTCCCTGTTTGCTAATGATTCTTCTCTCACTAGAATTATATGAGCGCTTTGATCGTGTATGCCGAGCTGTACACGGCCAGCAGTAGGTCCGATGGCCTCGGCTCTCGGATGATTCGGGCATCTCTCTATATTGCCGCCCCTTCCCCCGTCACCTTCTGCTGATTTGAGTGTTGCTGCCATCTTCCGACCCACACATACCTGACGTGAACACACTTCGGTGATCTGGCGTCGCATGACGAAGCTGTTTACTGAGCGGCTCACCGTTCCAATTTGGCCCTTCGGGACGTCATCCCCACCCTCACGTCTCTTAGCGTCCTTCCGACTGTTTCGCTTTTCTTGATTACCATCCAATGACTGGATCGTCATCCGGGAGAGGCTTCTGCACCCAAAACCTCTGGCTCCGTAGCAAGACTGCATGCTGTCTGACGGGGACTTCCCAAACTTATCAAGTCTCAACTGGGATATTCCGACGGTTGCCACTATTTTTCGGAACCCTACCGCTGCGATGAACCTAGGCAATCTTGTGACCATGAACTTATGGAGCCAGATACCGTATGTTTGCTGGCAGCTCCTGATGACAAATCCGAGGTTATGATGAGCGCACCGTGGAAGGTGCATCTGATGGAGGGGATAAGGGCACACCTGTCCCTCTCTTCGGTCGAGCTTGCGGAGGTAGCGCCCCGCTTGACAGACTTGGACTTGGTCATAGACGAGTCTCACTTTGATTCGGTGGGTAATTTCCCTACTACGATGCTCTCTATCCTGTACCGATGCCCCGACCTTGCCAGGGACCGCACAAACACTGCAGCGCGCTCGCGCGTTTTCCTCGCTTGGATATCCTCGCCTGGCTTTATTATCCTTATGGATGTGACCCTCATCCAACCACCGACGCTCGCGACCCTTCCGTGATCTGTCGTCTGCCTCGGGTCTGTCCAGAGCTCAGACATCCGCTGGGAATACACGGGCACAGCTATCATCACGAGGGACGGAGGTGGCATCCGGTGGGTTCACATGTACAAAGGGCTTAACAAGTCGACGGAGCCTGTATTTTGATCCGTCGAGAAGGCGTATCATGCTTAGGTATGCATGTCAAGCTACGCATGGGTCAGAGGGTACGCTCTGACTTTAGTGCACTTCGTCCGAAGCCAACCTAGCCAACCAACTTCGATTTGTCAATGTGAGTGGACTGCTGCCTACATTCGGAGTAGTGGGTACCGCCGAAGTTATAGGTACTCAGTGCGCGGAGAATCTGTATTGCCTTCGGGCGATGTACGCTCAGGCATCCTACACTATAGAGTCCATATTATACACTGGGTTATGAGTAGTCTACACATGAGTACATCAGCGGGGCCGCAGACGACGGCCCGCCGGAGACCAAGATATACATGTCTTGTACACGTCGTCGAGCTAAAAGTCATTCCATCGGCACAACATAGCACACTCTAGTTTGGCTGCCTCCATTTGCTGAGTTCCTCATAGCTCTTGAGGATGATCTCGTGCTCCGGGCTCCCCTCCTCGAAGCCCGTGATCTCCTCGACGGTCTTGGTGATCCCCTTATCCTTGATCTTCTGCCGGAGTTCTACACTCTGCGGATCATCCTTGATGTCATATAGGAACGCCGCCGCAATGCCCCGTAAGAGATCCGAGACGGGGATCTGATACTCCTTCGCCATATACACCGGCCCGAGCAATCTATCCTCCCTCCCGAGCTTGCGTAGCGGCTGTCTGCCGACGCGGTTCACGTCATCCTTGAGGTTAGGGTTCTCGAACCGCGTAAGCGTCTTCTCGATATACTCACGGTGCTCCTCCTCATCGAACCCGTGCCTGCGGATGAGCGCGAAGCCGGACTCTTCGAGGGCGCCCTTGACGATGTCGCGGATCTGCGGGTCCCTGATCGCCTGGTCGACGGTCCTGTAGCCCTTGAGGTAGCCGAGGTAGGCGGTGATGGCGTGCCCGCAGTTGAGCGTGAAGAGCTTGCGGTGGATGTAGCCCTCGAGGTCCTGCGTGAGCTTCATCCCGGCGAGCGGCATGTGCACGTCGTCGTCGCGCTTGAGCGCGCGCTCGTCGACGACCCACTCGTAGAAATCCTCGACGCCGACGTCGAGCGGATTGTTGCTCCCGTCGAGGCCGTCGGCGGGCGGGACGATGCGGTCGACGGAGCAGTTGGCCCAGCCGACGTGCGCGTCCGCCCAGGCTCTGTCGTCGTCCGGAAGGTGCTGCATGACGAGGTCCTTGAGGAGCGTGGTCTGGTTGACCATGTTCTCGCAGGCGATGACGTTGAGCACGCCGCGCTCGCCAATCGCGCGCCGCCGGCCTTGGAGGCCTTGCGCGATGGCGGGCGCGATCTTGGCGAGGACGGGGGGCCCGACGGCGGTGGTGACAATCTGCATGGCCGGGTCCTCGAACTCCTTGATCACGTCGTCCATGTGCGTGGTGAGCACGCCGGACACGGAGTCGACGGACTCGCGGCGCTGCTTCTTCTTCTCCTGGCCGTCATCAAGAGCCGCCGCGGAGGCGTTGTCGAGGATGTGGACTTGGTAGGAGTGCTTCGTGTTGAGCTCGTCGATGATGTGGGCGTCGACGTCGGCGAAGACGACGTGGTAGCCAGACTGGACGAGGAGGGGCCCGATGAACCCGCGCCCGATGTTGCCCGCGCCAAAGTGGATCGCCTTTTTGTGCGGCATCGTCGTCATTGACGGTGGTCAGAGCTTAGTCGACGCTGTGGGCAGCATCGATGGGAGCGCGGGCCATATCGAGTAGTGCAGGTTATGCTATTGGCTCCGAAGTCAGGGGCAAGTTGACGTCGCGATTCCTCCTGTGGCAGTGTCTCGCTCGTGGCGACTCGATCGACTCGCGAGTCTGTCGCAGACTTTCGGAGTCCTTGCTGTGTTCACCGTCGCAATTTCCTGCGCACAGTAGTAGAAACTCGAGTCGACTCACAAAATTACAGCTGAATCCAATGTCTGCGCCATGTTAGACCAGCGAAAGTCCAAGATTAGACTCCAAGACACCGAGAATGCAACGCTCGATCCATGGAGTTTGTGTCTCCTCCGAGGGTATGCCGTTGATTCATGCGAACCGTGCTGCGTGACCACAGTCAGTCCGACGCAAGGCGCTCCTACTTACGTCGTCTTGTCATCGGGGTTCGTCATACAGAAAATTCGCTTTCGCGGCAGACTGGCATTGCGAACTTGTCATATACATAGCAGTAGGTCGAGAACGGAGCCACCTGTAGAGAAATGACTCCCTTGCGCCATATCCAAGCATTCGCTGCCGAGCGAAGCGACGCAATGGACACTCGACGCCTGACAAAGACCGAAAAAGTCGCTGGTTCCGTGAGAAAGAGCGAGGTGCAGCGGACATCCGAGCTGCGATCCAGAAATACTTAGTCTGTCGCTGTCTGTCGGCAAGCACAAAATCCCTCTGGGGCTCTCGTGTACCGAGACAGCCTGTGTTCCGCAACCTTGTGGCTCTCCAGCGGCTGCAAAAGACGCGGTCGTCATCATTTCCGTCATGTCGAGGATGCCCAAAGAGGAAACAGTGATAGAGTTGCCGGCGGTAAGTGCTGAGCCGACGGTCGCGGCATCGGTTCTGTGGCCTCGGCACGCGCGGCAGAGGATGTCAGTGTCATCCTTGGAGAGTCAGCGCGGACCATCACATGCCTATATACACCTCCCGTATGTTTGCTTTCCCCCCGCGTTTCCCCCACTAACGTGCTTTGTTTACGACTATGACACGATTTATGAACGACGACAGCACACGCGCCCCGAACACCGACTCGTTTGACCAAGGCCCGAGGTCCGAGTCTGCGACGCTGAGGGATGAGGCTAGGGAGGCGTTCGATAGCACCGCGGTCGACGTACCGCTCGATAAGGAGGATGTGCGGCCAAAGGTGGAGAAGCCGCCGAGTACAGCAGAAGGGGGGAGGGAAGGCGACGGGGAGGAGGATGGCTCGAATGAAATAGTAATCGACTGGGACGGGCCAGACGATCCGCAGAATCCACGAAAGTGAGCGTCCGATTCGAGTCCATACTACCAGCGCTAATTAACGATGCGGCCGAAGCTGGTCATACAAGCGCAAGTGGGGCGCGACATTTATCGTGTCCGCGTTCACGTTCATCAGCCCAGTGTCCTCGTCCATGGTTGCACCCGCGACGAGACAAATCGCGTCCCAATTCGGGATCACGAGCCAGGTTATCGAAGCGATGACCACCTCCATCTTCGTGCTCGCGTATGGTAAGCGTCTGCACCCTCACGCGAGAGCGCGTCACTGACCTCAGTTGCAGCCATCGGCCCGCTATTCCTGGGTCCCCTCAGCGAAATATTCGGACGGTCAAGAGTTCTGCAGCTCGCGAATATGTGGTACCTTGGTGAGCACGCCACGTCATTTTCGGGCCGCTGGATCTTATCCTGCTCTCAGTATGGAACCTCGTCTGTGGCTTCGCCCAAAACACAGGCCAACTCATCGCTTTTCGATTCCTCGCGGGCCTTGGAGGAAGCGCGCCTCTATCCGTAAGCATACTTCCTCTGTCTTCCGGGACAAAGTCCACATTTGTTCCAGCAGAAGTTGACGAGGCCGACTGAACATAGATCGGTGGAGGCGTGCTAGGTGATCTTTGGGCCGTGCAGGAGCGTGGGCAGGCGATTGCGTTGTACTCCCTCGCGCCGCTTCTAGGTCCCGTCGTTGGACCGGTCGCGGGCGCGTGGATTGCGGAGCGGAGCACTTGGCGATGGGTCGTAAGTCCCTTTCCCAAACACTTCCTGCAATCAGCACTCACCGTCGCCTGTTAGTTCTGGTCGACAACAATCGTCGACGGCATCATCCAATGCTTCGGCTTGCTCTACCTCCGCGAGAGTAAGTCCTTCACCGCTGAAAGACCCTACCAGCTTGTTGGCTAAACTACATGATCATAGCCTATGCACCCATTCTTCTTGGGCAGAAGGCCAGCCGCATCAGGAAGGAGATGGACATCGAGAAAGGCGGGCGGGACGTGCGTACGGTGTATGACACCGCGGACCGACAGTAAGCCTCATTTTCTGCGGCGTCGGAGTCATTTGACCAACCCGTACCCACAGCTGGAAGTCGATCTTCAAGCACTCGCTCACGCGGCCGTTCCTGCTTTTCGCATACGAGCCGATCATCCAGCTCTTGGGTATCTACATGGCCTTTATCTATGGGACCATGTATCGTAAGTCTGCTCTATTCTTCTAGAGACTGGGCTCCCATCTGAAATGCGTTCTCCAGTGTTCCTCACGACCATCCCGTCGATCTTCGAGGGCGTCTACGGTGAGCGTGTCGGCATCGCCGGGCTGCACTACATCGCGCTCGGCGTGGGCCTCACGGGTGCGTCGCAAATCAACGCGCGCTTGCTCGATCGGATATACGCGCATTTCATCAAGCGGAATGGCGGGCAGGGGAGGCCGGAGTATCGACTTCGTAAGTGTGCACCCACTCGTTGCGCCTGTCGATTGCGATTCTCACCACTCGCCTACAGCCTCGATGGTTCCCGGCACGATATTGCTGCCTGCTGGCCTGTTCATTGCAGGATGGACGGCGAGAAGGGATATTCATTGGATCGTTCCCGATATCGTGCGTGCTCTGCCCGCGCCTCAGACGTGGCAGCAATTGATATGTCTCTGCAGGGAATCGCCTTTATCGGCGCTGGTCAGATCCTCAACTTCCAGTCCATCCAGACATATGTCATCGATGCCTTCACGCTGCACGCCGCCTCCGCGCTTGCGGCCGTGTCGTGTCTACGATCGCTAGCTGGATTCGGCTTCCCCCTGTTCGCGCCCGCGATGTACAATGCGCTGGGCTTTGGGAAGGGCGACACGATTCTCGCATGTGCGGCAATTGTTATTGGATGTCCTGCGTAAGTAGCCTATCAGCTGCCAATCTTACACTTCCGAGGCTGATCCAACGACGTAGACCCTGGGTATTCTGGCATTTTGGCGAGCGGATACGGAAAGCGAGTCGTTACGCGCGCTCATGATTTTCTGGTATAAGTGCGGAGACTGGTCGGGGAAGGGAGGAGGAAGAGCTACGCATAGTTTGCATTGAACCATAGAATCTTGTCTAATATAACTCCACACGATGTAGCATAATAGCTCAAGTGAACCTTTTGGTGGATTTTCGGTGTCGTACTTAGTGCCGGCGTGATGAACTAAGCAATGTGGACTGGGATTTATCTATGTGTCCCCCTCACTCGGTGAGCATTCGGTGATGTAGTTCGTCAATGGGTTCTGTCGGGGGGCATTAGAGTTAGGTCTAGCATCCAGACCAAATGTGTACTTTGACACACACACCTCAGCGTGATAGACCTTTTCGTCCGCTCCAAATACAGGCTGCATGGACTCATACAAACCTCTGCAAACCCACCGAATGCCACTTTCTCCCCTCATGATTATGATTACACTGATTCCGCAACAGCGTATGTAAGTGAGATTCGGACAAGCCCGAGCCAACCGACAGACAACAGAAGCGTCGCCAACGTCATTGGGTGGATCACGCGGACCCCGCTGATATAGAGAATAATTCCATGAAAAAGTAGTCAAGGCAGGAAAATGTGCGAGTGCATTGCAGTGCTCGTCTGGTGCCTGGTAACGCGAGGTGTCGGTACAAGATAGCGTGATAAATGGTCATAATATTACTCACTGGATCAAAATCATCCTCAAATAGGTCGAGGTCCAACTCAGTCAGCTGGGGCGCCAGCCCAGCAAGCTTCAGCAAATAGGAAGGTTGATATGAGAGCAACTTGAGCGAGGAGATGGACGGCCGCATCTTTATCCCCTCGATCAGATGCGCTCTCCACAGAGCGAGCACTCTGTCCCACGGATCGCCGTTACGTTTTTCCAGCCGACACATATCCCGCAAATTTATACCCGCAATATTCCGGAGGTTCTGTGCAGCTGTGGGATTCTGAAGAATGGCCGCAGCCGTTCCGGCCTGATACTCGAGACTTGACAGATTTGGGAGGGCCCCATCGGAAAGCATGCAGTCTTCCAACGGTAATACAACTTGCGGGTGCGGAAGCTTGGCCTGCTCGAGGGCCGGATGGCGATTCAGAAATTGGGTAATGATCGCAAGGTAGCAGGTAAATCCAAACATTCGGATGGAGCTTAAGTTCGGCCAAGTACCATGCTGTAGCAACATATCGGCACTTTGGACAAGCAAGACGCCCACATCCATAGAGAGATTCTATGGCACAGAAAATGGGAGGAGATTAGATTGAGAGACATGTGAACTATTGTCGAGCTGCACCTTACCTTGAGGTGAGGACAATCGACCAGCATCTGATACATAGGGGTCAGGTCTACCGAGGAACCATCCCGCTCCGGTCCATCCGCGCGGAAGGTGAAGGATGTCACACCTCGCAAGGACCAGAACTAAGTTGATTCAGCAAGCATACAATAACACAAGTTATGGCGTGTATGCCCACTGGCACGTACCGACGGTGATTCAACAATAAATGGCAACTCGAAGGAGGTGACACCCGGCCACGGCGCCGGCAGTAGGTCTACGATATCTATTTCGTCGACGTTTCCTAGCTCATTTATAGTCCGCCAAAGGTCCCATTCTCCCTTACTTTCAGGAGAATAGTATCGGAACCATCGGAATCTTCGCAAATTGACCATGCGCTTCAACGCCGATATCAGCGCCCTTTCGTCTTTGCGAAGCTCTTCAATGCTTGAGTATTTGACCAGCCATGTATCGGGCTCCCGCCGATACTGTTCTGGTACGCGCTCTTGCACCGGAACGTCCTCGTTCACGAGATAGGCATTTACATCGTCTCCATAAAAATCGTGTAGGATAGTCAGGGAGTGGACCAGATGAGCTTTTAAGTTATCAGGATCGCTCAATCGCGACCACAGGGCAGGGCTTTGTAATCGACTGCGTATATCGAAATATTGCAGAGGCCCACGAGAAGCGATTTCATACAGGTACTTGCATGACAAGGCGAGGGACACAACGTCCTGGCGGCCAGGACAGGAGCAAGCGATCTGGTAAAGCGTTTCGGGCGGGAGGTGGATGAGCAACATTTGATCAAATCGAGGCTGAGAGTGGCAGTAAGGGTGCGGCGGATATGTTGTTCTGAGGTTGCTTGCCTCTGGTGGTGGTAGATTGAATTGAGGAGTGGTGGCCAGTGGCGTCACGGCATCGGCGAGTCGACGGCGACTCGGGTGCCACTCCGAGTTGCGAAACGATATCAACAGCTGCAAACTGTGCCTTGCTCGCGAGTTGTGGAAAACAATAATCTACGAAATAGTACAGGAGTGTTATGAACTCACACAGTTACCGGCTGAGGACTCGACGCCCGCGCTTCGATGCTGCCCAACATCACTGGCAGATGGAGTTGACCAGAGCGACACCATGTATAACAAAGGATCATATACACAATAGCTCCCTGAGAGATAACCGTGCTACGTGATACTAGCCGCTCAAATGTTAACGGTGTGCCCACTGATCGAGATTGACGCCGTCCACATCTGACGGGTGTCAACGGTTGTGCCCTGGTCCGCGTGGAAGACGAGCTTCGTGCCGTCGGGGTTAACATCTGCCCCGCCCGGGCTGTACAACTGGGAGAACGGGTTACCGGTGATCATCAGCCACGGTCCTTTGGTATACGGGCCCGTCACGCTCGTTGCCGTAGCGTAGGCAATATCGTACAGACTCCCGGAGTAGCAGTTGCTGCTGAAGAAGAGGACGTACACGCCCTCAGACGTGCGCACGAGGGAGGGCGCTTCGACGAGCGGCCCGTCGTTATCGTCGCGGTCTAGGATCTGAATCGCGCTAGACCCCGACGCGTAGGCCGTGCCGGCTGCGTTTAGCTTGCGGATCATGATGGGTGTGGGGACGATGGGCGCGACGCCGTTGTTGCAGTTCCCACCATGACCGATGTTGTTCCCGTCGACTTTCCAGACGAGATAGAGCGAGCCATCGGCGTCGTAGAACGCATCCGGGTCTATCGCACCCCCTTGTCTATCGTCCACCGTCAGTATACGAACTTGTAGACATGGGTGATCGATACGACTTACGAGATTGGGCACTCGAGTGCGGTCGCCTGGGGTTGGAAGGGACCCTGGGGATTCGACGCCGTGGCAACTCCGATGCAATGGAAGCCCGGATTCGCCTTAGATTCCCCAGCATAGTACAGAACGTACGAGCCGTCCTTCTATCTGATCCGTCAGTGTCTGTAATAAAGTGGGACTGAGCAGAACACGTACCAACTGTATAACGTCAGGCGCCCACACGCCTCCCGACGACCAGGCGCCAACGCTCGGCAGCGCGTCCGTCGACACGGGCGACCAATGCACGAAGTCGGAAGATGTCTGCATCGGGACATTCTTACCGCCAGAAGTGGTGGAATAGGCGTACCAGGTGCCGCCAACCTGGAGAATGCTGGGGTCGGGGAAGTTGGAAGTGATCACTGGCCCCGTAATAGCACGCTTGTGGAGCGATGGGCTTGCACCGGCGAGCAGCGCGAGGAGGGGGAGAAGGAGGGCGGCGGCAAACATGACCGGATTGCAGCGGGAAATGGACGTCGCCAGCACCCGGAACACCTGCTTTATAATTGCTGTTGGATCAGATATGCTTGGGTAACAGGAAGAATGAGCCGCGAGCAGTAGCACTACTCGCAGATCATGCTTCGCAAACCTAACACAGAAATTGGGCGCGCTGGGTTAAGGACTGCTTGACACAGTAAGTCATCCCATGTGGATTTCGAGCACTGTACCTTTCGGACGCGTAATTCCCGGATTGCACACGTACGTTGTCACACGGAGAAAGACCGCAATGGTCGTGGTCTTTGGTCCAACGACTCCAGGGCGCATGCGGTGAGGGGCGCATGGTCGGAGATGCGAATCACGGGTCCCCGGAAGCCTTTTGACTCAAAAAAGTTGGCGCATGGCACACTGGATACCGCGGTTGGTTGTGCGCGACCTCCTTGACCACGGACGACCATTACAGAAAACGAGTGACGAATCAGGAATTCGGACAGATTCAGACGACTTCAGGACGCGGAATTTGTTTCGTAACACGGACTTTGCAGCCTGACTACATAGCAAATTTTAAAGCTACACAAGAACGTCTATACTATTCAACAACTCTGAGGGCATATTCATTGTGAATGACTATGATACATGGCTACAATACAATACATGTGCTTCAGTAACTTCCGTCATGCTCAGCAACTGCCCGCACTCTCGATCTCCTGCCTCAGATCTCCCGGCGTTTGCTGCTTAAGACCACATGTCCCAGCGTAGCACACCCGCCCCGTGACTTTATCTTCGGTCCCGACCGTCTCTTTCATGTACACCACGTCCGCCTCCCAACGACCGCCGCGCGCCGCCTTCACAAACTCCTCGATACCGGATGAGCCAGCGAGGATCACGGCCTTGATGCCTCGGTCACGTAGCAGCACGCTCGAGAGCATGTCGGGGACGGCAGTCGGATGGCCTTCGAGCATGGATGCGAAACTCGAGAGGAGCCTCGTCGCCCTCTTATCGTACTCCTCGACAAAGTCGAAGGAGCCAGACGTCGGTGTCTTGAGACCTAGATGCTCGGGAGAGGTGGCGTGCATTATCGCGTCGAGAGTGATGAGGTTGTGAAGGGCCGTACTGTTCGCTGACGGCTCCGCTCCGTCTTGGTCTTGGTGAGTGCGTGAATACGGGGTTTGAAGCTGTCAATGGCAAATTGGAGACCTACCGTCCTTCAACCGCATGATCTTCGTCCCACTCTGCATCCCGACGCTCGAGCTCGTAAAGTACCCGCCGCCCTCTTGGTCCCAGAACAGGGCGTCTTGCTTCGCTTGCAAGTCGACAGCCAGCTGTAAGTACTTCGGCTCAAACCGGACTTGATAGAGCGCGAGCAGGAAGGATATAATCTGCGCGTAGTCGTCGACAACGCTGGAACGCAAGGTAGGTCTCGCATGAAGCAGTAAAGCACAAGACGCACCCTTCGACGTCCGATCCGTACACTCTCCTCAACCTCCCATCCGAGAGCACCATATCCCTCTCTATAAAACTCACCAAGTCTGTCGCCATCTCGTACCACCTCGCCGCGTTCCCCTCATCCACCCCGCGCTCCCCAACAACTCTCGCTGCCCACGCCAGCGCCCGCCCCATCATCCCATTCCACGCGGCGACGATCTTCTCGTCCCGATGCGGTCGCGGGCGCTCCCTGTCTCTCACCTCCCGCAGCTTTTGCCTCCCCTCGCGCAGGATCTCCTCGACGTCTCGGAGCGTCAGCCCCGGGTGCTCCATCACGCACTCACGGTGCGAGTCCTCGATGCTCCCGCGCTCCATCAGGATGTTCTTGCCTTTCAGCTCGCCGTGCGGGTCGTGCGACGGATCGACATTGCCGTCGGGCGAGACGGAGTAGTGGAATCTGAAGACGGCGGAGGGGCGCCCCGCGCCGAGGATGTTGTCGATCTCGGCGGCGGTCCATACCCAGAATGCGCCTTCCTCTTTCTTCGTGGATGTCGGGGTCGGAAGGGATTCGGCGTCTTCTGCGGCGTAGAAGGCTTTATGCGAGGGGGAGTAGAGATCACGCGCGGAGTATTCGAGGATGTCGAATACGTTGTCGAGGTAGAGCGTGTCTGACGTAATAGTGTATTGGCGCACTGTGCGGGAGTAACAGGGGAATCAGTTATACGAGCGAATTGCACGGAATGATAAGCTTACGAAATGCAAGCGTCAACTGCGCTTGATCGTATAGCATCTTCTCGAAGTGCGGTACGTGCCATTTCGCGTCGACGCTGTACCTATGGAACCCGTTGCCGACGTGATCGTGGATACCACCGCGCGATATTTTCTACGAGAATCAGTGAACGAACTCAATGCAATCGAGGAAAACGTACCGTGAGCGTGAAACCAGCCATTCCAATCGGCTTCTCCACGTCGTGTCCATCGTCGCCTTCCAGAAAGCCCTTCGTATGCAGAAAGGAGAAGATCGGCGCGGTAGGGAACTTCGGTGCGCCGCCGAATCCTCCGTGGACGCGGTCGAACCTGCGGCGGAACGCTTTCAGGCCGTCCTCGACGCACGTCTTGACGTCGATCGGAGATTCGGGTGCTGATGGAGCGCTGAGCTGGTCGGATAGAAGGGAATGGAGTTTCGAAGCGGACTCAAGCACGGAGGAGCGGGAATTGTGCCATCTTGGGCCAGCGCAAGTGAGAATAGTTCGTACGAGGAGAGAATAGAGACGTACTTATCATCGATTTGCTCAAGAATCGAGACTAGAGCGCCTGGTGGGAAGTATGTGCCGCCGAAGAAAGGTTTGAGGTCTGGAGTGAGGAAAACGGACATGGGCCAACCGCCATGTCCCGTTGTCGCCTGTACGAACATCATGTATATCCTAGGAGAGCGGGCTGTCAGCACAGATACAAATGGTTATAAGGGGAGACAACGTACCTGTCGATGTCTGGGAGCACCTCTCTATCCACCTTGATATTGACGCAGACGTCGTTCATCACCTTTGCGACCGTCTCGTCTTCGAAGCTCTCTCTACGGAATGTAAGCAATGTACGACGTGATCGGCGGAAGATACGAACTCACCGTTCCATGACGTGACACCATCTACAGGTGGAATAGCCAACCGAGAGGAAGATCGGCTTGTCCTCTTTCTTCGCCTTCTCGAACGCCTCTGGACCCCATGGGTACCCTGTATTCGCCGTGCGACGCGTTCGTCAGAAATCCTTGCCGCTACAAACTCGATACGTACAGTCTACCGGGTTATGCTGATGTTGTAAAAGGTACGGAGACGTCTCGTTTGAAAGCCTGTTCGTATGCTTCGGTCTGTCCGTCATGGCTTCCTTCGTAAGCGATGAAGTAGAAAACGCTCGATACGTCTTGTTCGCGAGAGTGTTGGGGGGAGATGAAAGTCGCGGACGACAACGGTCGATGGCAGGTCGTAGTCGGTAGGTAGAAGAAACAAGTCTAGCGGTTTGTACGCGCCATAGGACCAGCCTACATGCAGACATGGACGGAGGGCACAAACTCAGTCCGGGGAATGCCCTGACATCATCATATCGCTCGGCAACTGGGCACAGGAATAATTATGTCCCGGGAGTCCGGTAGCCTCGTGTTGACCCGGTGGCGCGTCACCGGGTGACCCTCCCACGCCTAGCGGGCGCCTCCCGGTGCCCTCGGTATACACTCGTCGGTGACCTCTGTTTTAGCGGGTGTACATCGAGCGGACGGGTGCCGCTTTTGTTAATTCTATCCTTTCACGGCCTCGTCACTCTTTCCGTCTGACAGGAGTGGTCCAGGACCTGCAACCGGTCCTGGACAGTCCAGTGGTCCACGAGAGGCGCTGAAGTAAGCGCTCTTCCCGGCCGTCCGGCGTGCAATGCCCCAAGCGTCGAATCTAGCCGGAGTAAGTTGATCAAATCTGGTAGATTTCGATACCCGGATCTGGTTGAAAGCCAGGGCGTTCATGCAGGTGTGTAAGTCCTCGTCACCTGTCGATGCACTCTCACACTGATCCGTACGTCCCTTCAGCTGCTCGACATCCCTTCGCGCCGCTTGGCCGCTCTCGCTGCCGCAATCGTATCAACAGCCCTGCTGGTCGGACACGTACCAGCGACAGGGACGCGAAACGGCTTGCATGCCGTTTCCCATTCTCTCTCATTGCTGTATGTCCTTATCACCTTTCCATGCAATCTCGTGCTAATGCCCGTCCCCTTCAACAAAGACTGGACGGATAGACGTCGCGCAAGCGATGTCCTGGCTTTGCCTGTGCTTCTCGTACCCACTCTCGTCCCCACTCTCGTCCCCACTCTCGTCCTTACGGACCTCTGGCTTCGCCCTCAACGACAACAAGACTGGTCTATGCACGCCAAGCGGGGCCACAAGTCGATGATCACATTGCCATGTCCAGGGTGCATGTGCCGCCCCTCTGTTCCATCGCCGAGGCGTCGGGTCTGCGACGACGGGCCACATTGACGCGCCGGGAGCAGAGTCATCTCTGCTCAGCCATCCTCGACTCTCGAGGACGGTGCTGGCTGTCTGATGACTCACCAGCGAACACCGGATGTATAGATGCTGTGCGACCGGCGTCCTCTCTGTCGTCTTTGTAGTTCCGCGCTTCAACTCCTAACCACCGGCGCTATCTTTTGCGAGCAAAATTGGGACGTACTGCATTGCCGTGAGCGACGCTCCACCCTCCCCTCTCGTAGCGACGACTAAAGGGCTCTCTCGATCCCTCCCCTGTCACATCCGCCGCTTCATGACTCTGAAAGTCTTGACACTTTTGCTGTACCCAGCCCACAAAGACGGGACGTATCGCTGTCCTGCGAGCGATGGTCGCTCGCACACTCCTCCCTCCCGCTGTGGACTCTGTCTCCGGTGCTATCATGCTTTGCACATCTGCAGCTTCACGGGTCTGCAAGTCTCTCGATGTCGGCACTTTCTCCCGAAGGCCCAGGTGAGCAAAGATGGGGTATACCTTCGTCCCACGAGCGACGCACCCTCGTCCGGCGAAGATGCTCACGCACTCCTTTTCTTCCTGCGGTAGACTCCAGAGCCGTCTCCTGTCGACCTCAAAGCTCACTTGATGCTTGTACGGTCGGCCCCGTCTCCGGTCGGCCCCGTCTCCTAACACCCTCGTTCAGCAAAGATGGGACGTACGGCCGTCTCGCAAGCGACTCTCGCGTTCTCTCCATCTCTCAGCCAACTGTGCAAGGCTCCTCGCTGTCTCTGCTTTTCCCGCTGTCCATCGATTTGTCAAAGCAGTCGGTCAGCAAAGATACGACGCATCTGCGTCCCGCGAGCGATGCTCACACACCCCCTTCCATCCAGCATCCCCTTGGTGTCCCCGCTGTCCTGTCTGTCGACTCCAGAGCTCGTTGTCTTCCGCGGGCCCGGTCAGCAAGGATGGGACGTACCTTTGTCCTGTGAGCGACGCTCGCGTGCTCGCCGCCCTCGACATCACTGCCTTCCCGGAAGCCGTCGGTCAGCAAAGACGGGACACATCTTTGTCCCGCGAGCGACGCTCGCCATCTCCGCTGTCTCACAGGATGCTCCACCACACGTCTTTGTCCCTCGCGCACTCTGGCTCTCGACTTGTCCACTGTACCAGCTCTCTCCGAAGCACGTACTTGACAAAGACGGGATGTATCGGCTTTCCCAGAGCGGTGTCAGCACTGCGGCGGTGGCCCCAGTGCTCCCGACGGGAATGAAGATGGGATGCATCAAGGACCTGCGGGCGGCGCCGGTAGAGTCCCCGCCGCTCCCGGTAGTTTGGATGTCTCCCCTTCTCGGGCTACCCGAGCGGGGGTCGTCGCGCTGTCCCGTACCGGCAATGTGGTGGTCAAGTACTTTGGTGCGGCATCGCGAACGCAGGTGCGCCGGAGTTTCCAGCGTGACTTGTCGAAGCGGGCGGAGGAGGAGTGTGGCGGTGGTCGGGTTGGGTGATATAGGGACGGATCGAAAGCGGGGGAGTGGGTGAGCCGGAATTCGACAAGATGTGTTGGATGATATAGGGACGGATGGAAAGTGGGCGAGCGGGGGAATGGAAAGGCGTGGGCGAGCAGAGGAGTGGAAAGGTGCAGGTGGGCAGAGGACTGGAAAGGTGCGTGTTTCGCGATTACTGGAGGGATGCGCACCTGTGGACCTATTCCCTCCTTCCCAGCTAGCTTCCCTCGCTTCAGCTTCATATTGGGCGTGTGCACGTTGGTTGGTCTGGCGCCACGAAGACAGTTGGTCAACCCAGGGGTGCCTTCGGTGGGGTGAGGACTTTGTCGAGCAGGACAAGTACTACGCACCCCCCCTTGTATGTTTTTCCTCTCCACTTATGCTATCTCTCCCTGACAATCTCCCAGTGTCCTACACCCGGCCCCGCGGCTGCGCTTTTCGGTCCCGCGTCTACCCAGCCCGATGAAGATTGTCACAGCCGCTACAACCCGGGGACGATGAGAGTAGTCCAGCGCACCCGTCCCCCTCCCGTACTCCATCCCGCCCTGTACATGGCACACCCGATCGGCATGAACCGATGGCTCACGTGCATTCGACAACTAATCGCGCGGGGAGTAAACATCCACAACAAGGCCAATCATCGTGGCACTCTAGCGCGTGCAATTGACCCTTGTCGCAAAGCTCGATGGCTCCAACACGAAGAAGGGAGTCAACGCGCGATGACGGTGGTCTTGCCCGGGACGGGAATGTGCGACAACTGCAGTCTCAACTGAGAGGGGAGTCGATGCAGGTGTCAACGCCTGTTGTGACAGCCATTGCCGATGAGCCACTCTTGTCTTTCATTAGCGGAACTAAATTCAGGATCAACAGGAGATACCATTGCATGTAACATTTAAATGACCAGTACTGTAGATTAAGCTAAAGTCCTAAGAATATAGCAATAACAGAACATTGTGACTAGAAATCCTAATATGATGCAGCTGCTTGCATGACCTCCTGATGGCCCTTCCCTTTGTCACGCTGAAGATACTCAGAGAACTTACGGTGCGTATACGATCCGTATTTCTCTGCAAGGAACTGCAGTGCCCGCTGCGTGCCCCAGAGAGGCTTCCTACTGAGCTCCTCAATGAGCCGTATGATCTTATCCCGACGCGCCTTCTCCGTCTTCAAGGTCTTGTCGTTTCGCCGCCATTTTGCGTCCCAGCCTTCATTGAGCTCTCTAACCGAGAGGAAGCCACCAAGTCCCTCCGACCACTCCAGCCAGACATCCTTGATGCTGCTGGCAGGTTGGTACCTATAGAACGGACACCAGTCCCCCTTCACCCATTCCCACTGATGCTTCACTAGCCGATTGTAGCTGTATTTTGCAACCAGTGTATCCCACTTCGCCCGCTGTACAGAAGTATCTTCCATACTACTCGTACCAGGACCAGGTGACTGGGGAGTGGCTCTATGGATAGCCGAAGGTGGTATGGAGATGGGCTGCTCAAGAGAGAGAGAAGGCGGCTTGTCAGAGGACCCAGCAGGAGACAATGTCGAGGCCGCAGTAATGGGAGCCAGAGCACCAGAGGGGGACATGGAGGTGCCGAAATTGAAAATGTGACTGGCTCCTGAAATATGTATCACTGGTGGACTGGCGGGAGATTGCTGTGGTGGTGCAACTGCCAGGTACTGAGACGTAATCGCGGACAGAGGAGTGATCTGCGCAGACGCAGAAATGGGCCGCTCAATAGGTATCGGAGGTGCTGCTAAGCCATCACAGTACAATCAGCATGGAACAGTTCAGCTTGATAGGAACGGCCTTACCACTACTCCGTTTCACCCTTGTCTGAGCAGAGCCGCTTTCAAGTGCCTCATGCATAAGACGCATCTCCTGCTGCAATGCCATCATCTGCATCTCATGGCGTTGCTCCACCTGTTTCTGCTGAAGGTTGAAATTGGTGACAACTCCAGTGATGCTATCACCGAGTGTCTTAGGCAGGCTACAAACAGCCACACTCGCAGCCTCCTGCGCAGCCTGAATACGAGAGGGAGCTCCTGCTGCAAAATCATGGAATAGCTTTGAGTTGAATGGTGAATATTTGAAAATCGGGAGATTGGGTTCGCGCGAGTACAAGAGTGCACCATCTTGCAGAACAACTCGTCGGAGGTAGCGGAGCAATTGCAGGAACTGTTTGAGAGCCATGTCCGTGGCCTTCTTCCCATGTGCTTGTAGACGTGCTTCATAGGCTGCCTCCTGATCCTCCACCCATGGGAACAGCTGTTTCGTGAGCTCTGGCGGAGGGTCTGTTGATTTCAGTTTATTGATCAGTGTCAGGAACTCCGAGTCAAAGTAATTGGGTACATACCAAGCGAGTCTCGTGGGAGGCAGTAGACCTCAAATCGTCGTGCGCTGAACGCTGCAGCCCCAAGCAGCGCATCTGCCGGAAACGTGCGTTCATAGCACTGCCGGAAGGAGCCGCTTTCCTGCCACCCACCGAGCGCCTTTGTCCCACTGACACTAGCACCATGATGGCGGGCATTCTGGGCAGCATAGCTTCGTGTCGCATGAGTAACCTTCTGGATATCAACATCGTTCGCCTGGTGCATTAGTCGAACACGCTCGTTATGGTCTGTCTCAAGCATTAGGTCCTTATATTACAAAGATAGTTACTGCAGTACTTACTGTCATATGACATGGCCTTGTCATTTGATCTTGCCCAGAAAACATGATATTCATACCATGCTCGGTACCCATATTCGCCAAAGTCCGGCCTTGCAAAGTCAGGTGCAAACTCAGGGAGCCCATGCTGACAAATGTGGAACTGTGCAAACAACATGAAGCCGAGCGCGCCAAACGGACAGAGCTCGACAAGCCGGTGGCAAAGACATCCATGCTCATCAACTCGGCCGTTCTGATTATGCTTCGCATTGTCAGCCAATGCAGCAAGTACCTGCTCTCATGTTAGCAGGGCTGAAGTCATGATCCTGTGCTCAGTACTTACCGGGATCTTGCTATCAAGGTCAAAGTCATCTATTGACAGCTCCGACAAGAAAAGATCAGACCATAGCAACATGCGGGAGCTTTCACCGCGGAACGCAGTTGCAGCTCCGATCAATAGCATCGCGCGATCACGCAGTGCAGCAAAGATCTTGCGCGGTGACGTAAAACTGCACATGCACCACCTAGCGCACTTCCGCAGCTCTGCGGTTGTATATGTATCTAAGTAAACAATGGCACCATTTAGTATCATGCCGATAAAAGACGAGGAAACACGTACCAGCTGATGTCCCCGCTGCTTTCAATGCTTGCGACTTCGTGATGCGAAGGGGCTCGTTTGACTTCGCAGCCTGCTCCAACGTGCGAACCCGATTGTCCTGCCGCAGAGGAACTTGTGCTTCGGGGATAGCCTTGTGTAGGTGATGATTGTTGGCTCGATAATCTTCTAGCGCAGAGATCACGCCTGATATGTGAGACTTGCCGAGCGAGGAGCCAGTGACAGTCTCAGAGCTACCAGCCGTATACTAGTGGCAGTAGCTCATCAATTCATCAATTGAAATTAGATGCCACTGCACACGTACCTTCTCCCGCGTCATCTCGAACTCCAGGAATAACACAACTTTAGATGCCGTGACCGGCAGTGCTGATATCGTACGCCACGTCGAATCCCGTTCGAGACGCGCAGCCTGATCGTTCGCCCACCATTCGAGATACTTCGTAACAAGGCGATCAGACTTTTGTCCCGTTTGTTTCCCTTTCCGACCCTTTTCAATATGTTTGGCACGAATGCCGTGTGCTTCGGCATCCATGACATCCATAGATCGCTTCATCGCAGGGGAAATCGAATCTGTGGGAAACTATGAAGTCCATGAGAAACATTCCCTTATAACTTTGGTGTCGACTCACAGTACTGACAGACGTGTACATAGTACCATTTATCGAGCTAGAACAAACTGTAGGAGGTGGAGTAGAAGCACGGATTGAATCAAAGTTTATTGCTGAGCCGCTCCGGGATAGGGGACTGGTACTGCCAGGGCTCAAAGTCTGAAAATCTATGATAAACTCCGAGCCTGCGACCATGGAACTACTCATAAATGGGTCGGGCTCCGAAAAGGAATCTATCCTAGCCACGGTATTGCCAGCGCGAGAATCTAAACGCCTGCGTTTTGCGGCGAGCGGGGAAGGGGGCTCATATGATATGAAGCGCTGAGTTGACAGTGTTCCGAGATTCATAACTGTCTTGTTTGAGAAATCAGACAAGAGCCACGTCAAATGAATAAAGACAGACCTCACCTCGAGAGCCTTTAGGATCGTGATAGAGTAAATATTAACAAGCTAATAGACTGGCACAACCTGTTCAATTAGGACATGATGAGCATATTATAACAGTAGGACATCCGAACCGCCTAGTCTGCTTCAAATCTCTGCAAACCATGGATAACTCACCTTCCGAGCGCAGACTGCAGCCGCAACGGATAGCAAGACCGACCGGCGCCGACGAGACCAACTAAACAACACCAACGAGACCGACCGACGATGCCGACGAGACCGACCAAACGATGCCAACGAGACCGACCAAACGATGCCAACGAGACCAGCGTATAGCCTGGTCTCATGTCAGCGAGCGAGGTCGTCCACAGAGGCATGTCAGACATACCAGTCTGTAGATGACCGCTTATCGCTGGTGTCTTCGTCGACGACGCTCAAGGACGCCTGGGTCCTCGTGTCTCCCGGGTCGAGTCTTTATACTCCGCACACTGGCAGCGGAGCTGGTGTGATTGTAGACCTTTATGATTTGAGAAGCTGACGGCGCAGATGTACTGTGAAGGGTGCGGCGTTCTTCGAGGTGAATTAGGGGGGCTATGGAGTAATGAGGTGAAACACCTCAGACAGCCGCAAGCACGTCAGCCGGTCCTGATAGAGACACCCAAGAGGCGATTAGATAGCTGTAGTGTAGCAGAGGCAGACGAGAGTGGCGCGATGAGCCAGCTAGCACGAAGGCATCGAAGACTCAGGACGAAGGCTTGCAGCTATACAAATGCAGGCAGCGCTTCATTGATTAAAGATGCGATCTAGACAATTACATATTAGGCAACAGCACCCAGCCGACGCCGAAGAAGAGAAGTCATGGCGCATCATAGCGGGACCAGGTTCTCGGTCCATCCTTGGGCGCACATAGCAACCCAAGACATACTGGCGTGGTGACTTCGCTTACTATAAGCGGAGGTCACCGACGAGGCCACCAGGCTGAGCGGTTGACCCACGGTATGCTCTATGTCCAAGGGGCGGACACCGGGAGATGCCGAGACCACATGCAGGGGGAGGGGGGGTCGCGGGGTCTTACAGTGCTTTGCATAAAAGTCCGGAAACTGCGTTTCGCGCGTTTCTGTTTGTCCCAGCCAAACAATACCTTATAGGGTAACACCTGACCGAGGGCGCGACGGTCCTCGAGTCAGCCTATATCACTCCTGGGACACAAATGCCCGTCTCAAGGCTGAATAACGTTCAGATCTGTAGCTATTCAGGATATCGAGCACGCAGAGGTCAAAATCCCCCAAGAACGACCCTCATACATGGATGTCGAAGCGTCCCGCCAACCAGTCAACAGCCCGCGCTACGGTGATCGACTACCCCATATAGGTTTGTTTGGCTGGCACAAACAACATTTCGCGAATCGCGGTTTCCGGACTTTTATGGAAAGCACTGTAACTGAGATTTATTTTTACATAAAAAATTGATGAGATATAGCTCCCCTGAGCATGTATACGCAGCATACAGCATGGACCCGAGCGGAACGCAGTAGCAGGAAGCTATAGATACTTCATTTCTAACGTTTACTGCAATTCCCGGCTGTCGGGGGCAGCAACGGCGGAGCATTCGCGTGACATAACGTGTTGAGTGACAGAGCGTGGGTGCGACGCGTCGTCCTTTTTCACTTCATCATTGTTCTATCACTGAGAATAGGCTGGCCTTACGAGAATGCCCCGGGGAAGGAAGAAGGAGCCTCGTCTACGGCAAACGTCCTTATCTTCTTTCCGCCTTCCAGCCATACTGATTATCAGACAGAAAAATACTGCGTTAGAATCACGATGGTGTGAGATCTGCGTCAGGGATGTTACCGTCGGGACAGGTGGCGATCACAATTGGGAGGTGCATCTTCACGGTCACGAGCATGTTACCAACAGCCAGAAAGCCCAGAATAAGAAGATTACTGCTTATTTTGGGCGTGCGCGGCCTCATACGGTGGTACCTCTCAGACAAAATGTGACAAACATCCAGCCTATTGAAATCGATGAAGGGACCATCGACGAGCAACCAACAAGTCCTCTTCAACAGGGACAGTTGTGTCTGTCTAGTGTCAGAAGTGAGCCTCAACAGCAGGGGGTGATGGCAGCTTCTGGTATGGGCATCATCCAGTGTATCTGTGCTCTATCATCCGCCCTCCCGGAGACAGTACCCACTGCAAACCCCCATGATGTATGGGCCATGTTTGCGGTGGACCCAGTTATTATGCTCGAGTCCGATCAGGACCCCTGGGAAATGGTCAATACAACCCTTCATGGCGCTCTCGGTTATGGCACAACACCCGAAACTTTATCCCCCTTATACGCCGAGGACCGCTCGGTGTCGAAGCATTGTGTACCTGGCTTGAGAAGTGCTTCCGAGAGCTCAATGTGGACCCAATTCTTGTTGAGAGCCGACTAGGGATTCTCTGCAAAGCAATGCGTCTTTGGTATTATTTCACCTGGCTTATTTCGTCGCAAAGCACTAACTCTCTAAACAGTGGTGCTTCCCCCGACCCATCTATGCCGCAAAATTCAAGCTCAGAGCTGAGCTGCTCCATTCCCTCTTCACCTGTCCATCATGCTTCAGCCCCGAGTGCTAAATCCTCTTCACTCATCCGTGGCTCTCCAGCGCCAAGTATCAGATGTCCTGGTCTTGCCATGGAGCTGCCAGCTGGTACGAGTCCATACGGTGTGTATCCATTCAGCACCCATACGCGCCATTCACAACCGTGGGACACCATCGTGACAGATGACAAGCTCTTCACTGTGGCGAAGATGTGTTGTGGCAGTGCCAGCTTCGAGGATGGACAGCTGCGACCTTGTCGTTCCTGTCGGGAGCTTGCTAACAATGATATGCTCCTGGCAATGCGTAGTCGGATGTTTGATGGCTGTCCAGAAACCGTCAATTATGCATATTATTCCCATTATCAGCTTCTCGACCTCCACCGCCGGCGGCAACAGCTTGACATGATGTGCTTGGGTGGTCTAAACCATGCTCACAAACTAGCAGTCAAATGTCGAGCAATGGGTGCGGCCAACCATATTCTTATGATGATGGCGCAAGGTGACATACCTGGCGCTGATCGGATGCTTCGAGTGGCTTTGCACAATGGTGCAGGTCTTCTAGGAGTCCTCGAGAAATTTGGTGCGGCAGCTGGTCGTCTCAGCAGTGGTATCAGCCCTGAAGAGGCAAACCTGCACCGTATCTTCCTTTTCGCAAAGTTGGGCAGAGCACGTGTGGCACAGATTGCCCAGCGCAGCTTGAATTTACCCTCTGCAAGTATTAATTAAATAAAGCTAAAGTAGCAGATTAGCTCAGGGTTCCGTAGGGAAATCACTATATTTGTATGTACCTAAAGTAGCAGATTAGCTATGGGTACATGATCAGCAATGGCACAAAAATATACACAGAGAACAGATCTCACCTCAGGATTCCGTAGGGAAATCACTGAGGTACACGGCAGCTGTCTACGGGTTTTTGTAGTAAGCCACACACGGAAGCAAACCTTACATAGCTGTATAGTTGCAGAGTACCATAGCGGGTAAGACATATAGAAAAGGAAATAACATATCAGGTAAGCGTCCGGTCCCGGTTATCCTTTGTACCGAGCTTGATATTCCGACAGCAAGGACGGCTGTGCGCTGGCTCGGCAAACCTGTTAGCTTGTTCGTGGACGAGCTGAAGCTGGAAGAGCGCCTCCTGTGGGACTCTGCTACTAATCACATCCTTGGTGTATGCCGGGAGCACTCCAAATCCGTCTCACTGGAGTTTCGTTCAATGGCCCAAGCTGATGCTTTGCACGAGGCATTGACAAACCCATCACTGCCTCAAAGAGACCGTGTACATCTGGCTACAGAGGTATGTGTTTGGACCTGGTTGCACGTTGCATGTTACATCGACTCAATGTTCTGATAAAGGTGACCGTTGTTGCAATGCGCGTACTATCCAGTGATCCTCGACGAAATGCAGCACGTCCAGTAATAGTGTCTGGAACGTGCAAACGAGAGGATGACAGAGCCCAGTGTGACCTCCTGCTGAACGCGGTGAATAGCTTTAAGGGTCATACGTGTGCTCGATTATGTCGTCTGTACTGCATAGCAACCAATGGGGATTCACATCGTCGCAGAGCTGTAGCTGCCCTGATGCTTCATTCCAGCCTGACTACGACTTCACCCATTTATGCCCTCCTGCAGCCTTTGCCATTGTTCAACCTCCTCTGCGGCGATGACGAAGTCACAGGCGATTTCGACTCCAAAATGAAATCAAGCGCTTCCGCCATACATTGTTATGAAGCAAAGGTATCACCATAGATGGTGTCAGCCTCTCAACCACCATTCTGCGGCAGCATCTGCTCCATGAAGGCGAAAACCCCCGGCACGTTGATTCACTCCTCTCACCAAATGACAAGCAGGATGTACCTCTTGCCTATTCATTGCTGCTAGCGATATCAGGCTTTGACTACAATCCGTCCTCAACTGATCAGTCTCCTGCATTTCATGCTGCCCAACGCATTCTTCAGCTGCTGGGTTACTTATACCAACATATCTCGGAGGCTTATACAAACATCGATCTTTCCCTCGGACAGCAATTGGAACACTTATCAGCAGCCGCACATATCTGTCCTGCTGTCTATGCGAGTAACAAAGGCGGATTCATTCCAGTTCAGCTCTATTACGACATTGTGACAATGATCAAGAACGTGTTCTTCTGCATCGTAAAAGCGATGGTCGTGGACCCAAATGGTCAATTCTACCTAATCCTACTAGGTACTGACCCTCTTGAGATCCTCTTTGGTGTTGTGCGGACAATGGTCGGGAACGATGCTAATGCCGATCAATTGCAGCTAGCCTCGAGGCTCACGATGGCCTCACTCTGTTCCACCCTGCTGCAGCTACATCCCGAGTGGGATCGAGGTGCTCGAAGGCTCGCATTGCCAACTCTTCATCCTGGGGACAATTTGGTGGCACAGAAATACGACCACATTAACCCCTCATCATGGAAGGGTGATGTGTCGTTGAACAAAGTTGTCCTGCTTACATCGTGGCAACTTGGTAAGCATCAAGCATCTAGAGAGCTCGAAGAGTGTCACCTAGATGTGCCCTTTGCATCGATGGAGGCATCCCGCGGCTTTGATATCCTCTGTCCATTTGGGGAGAATAAAGTTGTCCTTATTGGGGACTTGAAGGCCGGCGAACATGAGGAGAATGAAGAAGAACAAGACGATCCGACTAGCTCTCAGCCATCAGTGAATGCAGTATCGGATCCGACAAGAGTGGCCGCGTCCCCCCAAGCAGACGAGACAGAATGCAATGAAGACGTCGATTTGGAGCCCGATCTCGAAGACCTCGTCGGCTCGGAACTTGGAAGATTGGATGGAGACGAAGCTTCCGAATCGCCTTCATATAGTGCTTGGATCTCAGTGGACGGCGACAGGGGTAAACGCCAGCACAAGGCAACGATCTTACAGGTATATTCGAAGCCCATGAGCATCCAGAGCTCCCGAGACCGTCTCAGACGCATAAACAGACTGTCAGCTTACAATGAGTCTACCGCCAAAGATCTCACACGGTCATTTGATGAGGGTGCATCACTTATCTCGGTTCATAGTCCTGTCTTGACCATTGTCCGGTGCAATGGTCAAGTCTTTCTTGCTGCTGCTCTGGTAATCGATATTCAATCCAATAACACGAGCATCCAGTCTCTTCCGTATGATCAGCTACAAGAACCTTATGTTCGCGTGAGGGTCCAGCTTATGCGTCTGGGAATAGCTACCCACAACACGAATACCATTCCTGATCCAGGAGAAGAATGGGAGTGGACAGGCGAGTTTGAGCAACTACCCGGGCCAACATCCTCCAGGGAGCTCGAAGGGCAGTGGATCAAGGTTGTGGACCCTGATATCAAGCAAGGCACACGGCGATTGCAATGTGGCACTCCCACATATTTCTTCAATTCCGGAACTTTGAAGGTGGCCTCTTGTTTGTTATTTGAGTGCCTCCAGAAGGAGCTCGATGACTTACCGAATGTTCCTCTGACAATGACATTCCCCTACCGTTCTTATGATGGTGCGTTGCATGACCTTAGAGAGAAAAATCTCCTCATTTTCTCTTCCTAATCCCTAGGTAAAGCATGCTTCTTATGTGAACCGGATGGGCCTCGGCAGACATATCAAGACCAATTCCACTGCCCCTTATGCCTGTCGCTTCATTTGGATAAAGGTCCGAAGCTCATTGAGCACTTTGGTCGGCACCTACTCTTTGATAGCCACCTGGAACCAAGTCGAAAGGACTCTCCCTGCGGACTCTGCCTGAATCTAGGCAGTGTTTGCCAATTTCACCTCTGCAAGGGCCCAGGTGGCACTGAAATTATCAATATGAACACCTCACAATGTCGCAACCTCTACAAGATCCAGATTGCCAGTGCCAGCAAATTCACAAAGTCTTTGCCATGTATGAATGTCCCGATGGCATGCCCGCTTGGTCCGCAGCACTCTGATGCCATTTGGAAGTATAATTTTGATGCTCACTTTGACAAGGTCTACCCTCAGGCTGACAAAGAGTGCTATCGTTCCTCATTTGCCATTTCCCCTGAGGAGATGGACTGCATGCGTGAACGCTATGCCGCGAAACCAAGAAAGCAGCGCGTCAAACCGAAACAGAATGTTGCTTTAGCAATATCGGAATTACACAGCTCAAGAGTTGTCATGCGGTACGTCTTTCGCCATGCTGCAACCTGGGAGACTCAGCTGAACCCATTGCTTACAGTAATATTAACTGCAGTACTGAATCATCGGGTACGGCCTGCTCCGAGTCCTCACCGGCAAGCCTATCACCGTCTTTGATGGATGACCAGGATATGCCAGCTGCAATCCCCGCCCATCTGTCTATATCGCCTCTCGGAAGTCCATGTCTGCGCACTGCAGTACTGTCGACTTCGCCGGACCAGAGTCCTACGGACACCGCTCAAACGGTCGAGCCTGAGGGGAGTGCACCGGATGTCATATTGACAAAGCGGACTGTTACAGAAGCCAAACTAGACAAAGTAGAAGACAAGCACAAATACGAAACCTCTGATATACCAAAGATCGACCGGACGGCTATGGTTGCGGATCCCAGCGCACGTAAGTCTTGAACCACGCGATGTATCACTTCATTGGAGGCTAAATTTGACATCTGGCATTTGTCCGGATGCAGATGGTAATTCCATACACACAGATATTCCTCTGGACCCTGATGTACAGAGTATTGAGCGGCGCGAAGATGTTCACAATGCTGAGCCTGAGGTGGATGCTTATTGCCCGGAAGTGGGAGAAATGGTCAAGTGTGACGGGCCGGAATGTGGCGAATGGGTATGCTTGCTTGATGGCTGCTATTCCACCTTCTCTGATTCGTTTTAACAGTATCATTTCACTTGTGCGGGTCTTCTGGACTTGCCAGAGGGCGCGTGGTTCTGCTCATCCGCCTGTGAGGCACAAGCATCATCTACACTCAAGATACGGCTGCCCGCATTGAATCCGAGCAAGCGAGCAAAGATATAGCCATCATAGGTGTCCTGTACAACCTTGAGAATGTGTACCATCTCCCCGTCGACGTACGACAGGATTCCGGCCGCTGTGGCCTTTCACTACTCAGTCTACAACGGTAAAAGTCATCTATAATGACATATTTTCGAGTATAACCTACATGATATAGTTTTATTTTTATTGGACAATATATTCCGGATGCATTTGTACCTCTTTACAGCGTTAGTTTCCATGCAGCCGCAGTAGTGAGATGGAGGAGCTGCGTGTATTCTTACAGACTTTCCTTATATGGTGCGTGGGAATGTTCTCACGGGGGAGGGGGGGTACCCATGGAACCTTAACAGAGATTTGTGGCATGTGGTCTAAAATTTGATTTCTGTATGCCCCTTGATTATGTCTCTTGAAATCAGTGTTGGCATGTCATAGTCATTATTCGTGACTGTGACCAGAATGACTTCTGTTATTACCGAAATTACTAGGTATGACCACGTGGTCACTGTAGTCGCAGTCATATTAAATTTAGCGCAAGAGGGGGTCAAAACACCTCAGCCTGACCGTTGCTAGTGGAACAGCATGAAAGCATACATGAAAGCCGTGGGCGGACCGGTGGGTTTGCATAAAGGGCGGTGTTGCGCCAACACCCTATGTGAGCACGCGGGGTCAGGCGGGGGACTGTGCGGAGGAGCAAGCGTATTGCAGACCAGGGGCTTGGAGAAACGAGGTGCATGATCGTTGCTTGGAGGTTCCAGAGGAGATACTACGTGGCTTTCCTCGCCACCCAGGAGGGGGAGCCTTGCTGTGATAGAAGCAACACAGGACGGGTTACGAGTAGAGCTCAGTGAATTACTCTCCGCTGGGTTCTCGGCAGCGTTATCAATGTTATTAACAAAAATGGTAGTTATTAACATGTAATTAACATTGTCAATAACCAAAAGGCCACATTTGGCCACATTCCGTGTCCTCGACAGCACATTCGAGTCGGTGCTCGTAAAGCACGTCCCTCAGGCCCCAATAAATGTAGAGACATGTTCTCCTTCTCTTTGGCGCACTTGAAAGCCTTCGTAGGAGCAGTACTGTGAGGAACAAGTCATCGAGCAGCTGCAATGCGTGAGAGACCAGGCTTGGCACACGATGAAAACAACCTCATTGCCTGGACAGTAGGTGGCATGACTGTCTCGTCCTCCGTAGAGTGGCTTGTAGTTGCTCACGAAACACCAGATACACCCCGACACTGCCCAGCATCAGGAAAAAAGTCTTCATGCTGTAGCACCGGCTTCATCTAGGTAGCTTTTGGTCAGCTCCCAGTGTCGACAGAGAGTTGGCCCATTAATGGAAATATATAGTGTCATATGTAACATTTCCCCTTCCACATACCTCTACATAGTGACGTATGATATCTACATAATTCTCCGAGCACTACCAGAGCTACACGCCGCTATCGTGCCTACAGCCACAAACCAGATCGCGACCGCATGGTGGATAATTGAATTCAACCACTTCTACAGAAAAGTACTGCCCTGAGACATATTTTACCTATTTTACAGTGATTGCTGGGGTCTAATATAAAGCCCCAATGGTGGATTTATGTCCTACTAGGTATATACATGCGGGCGGAACATCTCAAACATATGTTGATCAATGTATCTATTCAAAAGAAACTCAGAAGGTTCCTCAGCTGACCAGGATTTGCAAACCAATGCCGATCCAAACTTGGGTGCTGCATGACAAGTACAGATCACTTTACTAAGGGGAATGACTGATGCATTTGGTCAGGACTGATGAGTAGAGCGCACAAGTCTGAACATCCCACTCATGGGATCAACAGACTGAAGCGGGCGGAACCAGCGAACATACACCAACGGCTCTTGGTCACCCATACCGCCAAGCTCTGGAGGTAGAGTAAAAATGACCCGAACCTCAGCAACACGGAGACCTGCTCATAGAATGGTAAGCAATACAAAAGGTAAGCGAACAGAGAGCCTAAGCGTACCATGAATGCCACGGGGATCAGTCTTGTGCACGTCACGATTCTCGATTGCGAGGATCAAGTCGAAGCGACTGGGCTTGTCAGATTTCCTAGCATCTCTTGCCTTCTGGGATGGGATAGCGTGAATCTGAGTATACCTGACCTTCGAATCTGGTAGGTGGTAGCTTGGCGGCAGATGTATTTGAGCAGTCTTGTATACATCAAAAACATCTGACCTGTTCGGCGTGATTTTGAGGCTCGGGCACGATTCTGCAAGGAAAGTTTGTAGAGCAGGGATGAACTCTACTACCCCATACTCATGCTCCAACCTATCGACATGGGTCGCTGGATATGGACACTTGCGTGCAACGCGGATGCATCCGACTTCTTCAGGCGTGGTAAGTGCATCCCTGGAACCAGCTATTCGGAGAAGCCGATAGTCCTCTTGGTAGTCATCCTTGTCATCCTCGTTGACGTCGGAATTGTGATTGGACCTGCTCGCCGAAGTCACACTGTTTAGATCGAGCTTGCCGGTAACCCAATCAATATACAAGGTGCGTCGAGCCATTGCGTCCTGCCGCTGTAGCCACTTTGCCATTTGAATTTCGTAGTCTTTCTTATTACTTGCGTGATAAGCCTTCTTCGCGTATTCGATATGTAGATGCTCAGGAAGCTCTGTGGTGTATTCATCGGCTGTCCCGAGTGCATGTATGGTGTCGATGTAGTGCAATAAAGCATGGAACTTCGGTATGTTGAAGTCCTTGCGTACCAGATAATCAATAAAAATATCTTTGAGCTGGTGAAACCCGTCCAAGGCCTGTTGCATCAGAGCCAGGGTCTCAGATGTGTGGCGTTGATATTGGGCATAGTAAATAAAGTCTAGGAGGTGGGTTGCAGCTTTCGTGACTCAACTATTGACGGAGCCCACACAGATTGCGACAACTACACGCGTCATCTGGCAATGCTCATTACCGGTCCACTGCGATATCGAAGAGATACCCTTCGCAAAGTGTCGCAAGCCTGGATAACCCATCATGGCCTTGAAACGTGCATCAATCTCTTCATTAGATGCCAGGTCGCAGATCCAGTTAACCAAGTGGTCCTTGAAGATACCTTTGTGTAGCTGATGCAGGATATCCGGCGTGAAGCATGCAAAGATATCGGTAAATGGCAGGTCCACCCAAAACAGCTTCCAGATGGGGTGAAGGCCTTGGCTCTCAAAACGTGAGTCTTCAATCTCATTAACCTTCCTCTCAAGAATGATCGCAGTAGTGGCTTGATCATGTAGAACTGACATGACTGGTGAGCCGCAATCTTTAGGATCAACAGTACACTTCGGGCATCGGTTTTGCTTGCAGCATGCGACAAGACATTGCTCGGGGTAGTCAGCGACATAAGCTGAAAGGATAGGGTGGACTCGGCGCCGGTGTCCATCTGCGCAAGTCATGACAACACCGTCTTTCCCGCGTGTATAAGAGGCCTCAATATCGATCGCATACAGTCATGAAAGAGCCGGTACCCTGCAAGCGACCTGTATTTCTCCGTAAAGCACTCTAGCTTCGAAGTTGGTATGTAGCCTATCAGGACTGTCGCGTGAGCAGAGGGCTGATGATGAACATGCTTTGCGATGTTCCCTATGGTCAAGTAGACCGGCCATGCCGCTTTATCTCCGCTATGCAATGAAAGTTGGGTCTTGTCTGATGCGAGAATAATGGGGGCGATAACAGCTCCCGACGGTAGCTTCTTCTAAGTATAGCATTTGAGTAAGTCACTTCCCATCGGGAACTGGGAACTACATTCATATGTACCTGTGTCTCCAACCACCAGTCAGCCGTCCAAGCTTCATCTATAACTCGCTTTCTACCTTGTCTGTCCGCGTACACCCACTCTGGGACATACGCAAGGACCTCCCGGAAGGCGGGGTTCCCTATCAAGTCCTTGATGCATTCAACCGGGTTTCGATGCCAGACCTCAAGTTTCTCCGTCATGAACAGCCCCTTCTCATCCCTCTGGTCTCCCGTTGCCTCCAGAATTTCACAGGTCCACTCTGGTCCAGTTGGAAACTCGTCAACTTTCTTGAAGAACTTGTAGCTGCTGTCAAAACTGGGGCGTGTCCGGTCACGGGTCTGATGGTACGTGCTCATCAGTGATCCTGATTACTATGATACATGATAACATGGGAACGCACTATGGGAAGGTTCAAGTATTCATTGAGCTGAGTATGCCCAACATTCTTTATAAGCCATTGAGCTAATCCCCATTCCTCCTCAGACTCGAAGGGCGCCCAGGGAGGGAGTCCAGCTTTGACCTGTGCATCTCTGAGTCTCTCGAACTCAGTCGCTGAAGTACCGAGGCTGGTTGCGATTGGCCTCTCGACAAACTCCTCGGCCCATCTTCCCTTGGACTCCGATATGTCTGGCACTCCCTCTAGTTGTACCCTCTTAGACCATCACCCATCAAGCCTGTCATCCGCATTAGCAAGGGGTCGGTGCACATCCAGATTCTTGTTTGCATCAAAGACATGCGAGAGTGTAAGGGGAAGCGCCCATGTGGCGCGTGTTTGAGTATGTTTGGTCGCGACGCGCCTTAGAAGGAAGTTTGGATATACGTAGCTTAGCAGACAACTACTACCTTCTACTCTAAGGAATACTCCTGTACTCGTGTATCTGTTCGCAATACGACGAGGGTTCACTTAGCCCCGGTGTGTGATAGCTACATACTGTACTGACGTTTTCCTACACTTTTTTAAGTGCTCACCGCGTTCAACTCCGTGTTGACCGCAACGTATTGTGACGGTACCAACGTACCAACCCACACTCTTTTGAAATGACAACTCCTTCGACGACAACTACTTCGGGTCACCACGCTGATCTCTCCTTCGACCCGGTGGCTCATTCAACGCTTACTGGCGACAATGGCTCGACCGAGGACGACGACACACTGCGTCAATCGCAGCGTACTCCTTCACGCAATCGTCAAGGCCCATCCCGCCCTAATAGTAGGGTCGAAGACGACTCCGATCGCTTTGTACGCCGCATTAGGAACTTCCAACGTACTGGCGTGCGTGATATCGAGGAACGCTCAGCTAGAGG